GGATTGGGCCTGGAGCAAGCGGAAGGTTGTCCCTGGATGGTCTTTAAGGTCCTGTTCCAACCATTCCATGATTCCATGATCCAGCAGTTGGGCTGTGACCCATCAATATTCTCTCTCCAGTGGCCATTCCAGGGGGAATCCCTGCAGAGTCACATCGTGCCATCCACCACCCCTCCCCCCCATAAAATCCATTGCCAGCTTCAAGACATTGGAATGCCTGTTCCCTTCTCCACCTTGGAGACCTGGCAGAGGGAAGTTTGGGATGGGTAATAAAGAATTCAGGCTTTGTGGTTGGATTTGGTGGGGGTGGTTTAAAGGTGATGCTTTGCATCTGGAAGATGGGAACCATGGAAGACAATTCCAGGGGTTACATGGAGCACAGGGAGGTACCAGCAGCTGGAGCTGCCCCTTTTGGGTGCCCACCTCTGTCCCTGCCCCTCACACCGTGAGGGGAAGCAGCCACACTTCCCAGGGGGATTTCTTTAAAATCTTTCCCCACCTGCAGGGCAAACCTGAGCAACAGGAGAAAAACCCGAGGGAGATGGAAAAAAATCCATAGGAGATGGAAGTGCTGGGAAGGTGAGAAGTGGGGATGTTGTGTTTTCCTCAGCTTCCAGGTTCAAAAACCACTTCGAAATTCCAGAAGCATCTTCTTGAATATTGAAGACCGGCAGCTCGGAGTCAACAGAACCACTTTCTCTTCCATGGAAAAAAAAGCCCTTGGAAGGGGTTAGTGCTGCCAGCAGGGAATTTCCCAGCTCTACCCACTCCCACAGAGAGGTTTGGATCACCAGGAGCAGGGAATTCATCACCTGGTGTGAGCAGCCAACACCGTTGATCACAACCCCCGCCCCCCATCGCTCGGAGGCTCTTCCCAAACCAGCGAGGGTGGAAACACTGGGCACATTCCAAGCAGGTGGAAAGGGAGGTTTCTCTACCTAAAACTTACATCATCTCCCAGCACAGGGATTGGTAAAGGTTTATAAAGGAATCAGTGGAAAAATCCACTGAGGGATGCTGGATGCAGGGCATCAGGTCGGCTGTGGGAGGTACGTGATCCACGGATCTTTGGAGCTCGGAGAAGGCACGTGGGAATTGCACTTTTCCCCAGATATCTGCAGGCTTTGGGCACACAGCCCCAAGCCTGGCTGCCAGAGGAGTGTTGCCATCAACCAAGCCTCGGCCCCTCCCTTTGGAAAAATGAATTCCAAGCTCCCATCAGTGCTACCCATCTCTACCTGGGGCTGCCTGCTCTTCCCTGCCTGAGCGTTCCAGCGGGAAAAGTGCTCCCCAGACCTTGCTCCAGCTTCTCCCTGGCTTGTGGCAAGGCAAGGCAGGAGGAAGAGGATGATCTGCCTCCTTTCCATGGCAGCTCCTCCCTTAAACAGGGCTGGGAGTTCTGGAAGCATCCAAGCCCCCACCTAAACCTGCCAGGTCACAGGGAAAACCCCAAGCCAAGCCCTCGGAGGGGAAAACCAGGGGGAAAATGGGACAGAGCCAAGGATTAAGGCTGGTTTTCCATGCTGGAACCCCAAATGGGAGCGCAGACTGGAAAACTGGATGGGAAGGAAGGCTGGTGAGGCGTTGCAATGGGTTTAGGGGGATGGTCAGGGGGAAGGTGACTCCTGGGAACGAGCTGGCCCTGGCTCTGTGGAGGAATCGGGATGGATCAGCAGGAGCCAGCGAGGAGCTCGCCAAGCCAGGAATGTTGGAGGTGGGCAAGTGAGCAGGGATATTGGCTTGTGCCAGCCAGCTCCAGATGGCAGGGGACTGGGGGAGCCCCAGGCTCCAGAGAGCTGTGCCCTGCCAGGAAGCTCAGAGACACCTCCAGGCTCCCAACAGCCCTGCAGCAAACCCAGGCCTTGCTTTGGGGTCGCTTTGGCTGCCCCAAGGATGCTCCCAGGTCCAGGAGCCCAAAGTCCTCCTGCTTGGGCTCACCCTTTGCTGGGGATGCCCCACGGACACACAGGGCTGTCCCAGGGCTTTCCAAACTGCTCCTAAATGCCTCCAGCAAAGCTTCCTGCAGATCTCAGGGATCAGAGAGAGAGAAAGGACCTAAAATCAGGGCAGAGCTGAGCCCTGAAACCCCTCCAGGGTGTCTCATGTGCTGGGGGGGGGGTGGTCCCTGGATCCTGCAGGGATTTCCTCCCTGTGTTTTCCTGACTCCACATTTCACCCCAGGCAGGTTATCCCGCCTCCTTGCCGGCCAAGTGCCCCTTCTGGGAAGGGAAAAGCAGTGCCAGCACCTGCTCCCAGAGCTTGGCTTTAGCCACGGTCACGTTATCCCATTACCTCATGTGTGGTGTCACCTCCTCCCATGGAATGTGCCATCCCAGAGGGTCACTTTGAACTCTTTTTTTGGGTTTTTTTGGGTTTTGTTTTGTTTTTTTTTTTTAATATAAAAATGTGTGTCTTTATCTCAGGGTGTATATAAAATAAAACATCCATCCAAAGGAAGAGGGGACATCAGACAGGAGCTTCACAGCCACCCCTGCAGAGCCAGTGACACTCTCCTGAGGGTTTATAAACCTCAAGATAATTGTTTGGTTTTCTTATCTGGGGAGCTGAAATATCACCACTATTTTAGGATCAGCTCTGAGGGTGGAGAGAGGTTTGCAAGGGCTGCCTCTGACCCGTGGTGGTGACAGGGGAACCTTCCCCTGGCGGTGCATAAAAGGTGGGACAGTTTTTTCCAGCCCTGGGAGGAAAGGAGAGCTGCTTGTCCTGGCAGCCGTTTTCCCAGGGATGATCCAGGCTCCAGCTCAGAGACTGGAGGCCCTACACATCCCAAAGTCCGACATCCCAGACCAAATGTGGCCCAGCCAAATAAAACCAGAGCAACCAAAGTCTGAGGGGTCCTCAGAGCAGCCGAGGAGAGGTGAAGAACAGAGCAAGGACCCCCCAGGTCCAGCCCTTGGTTGTATCCCAAGATCCAGCAGATCCCCTCAGCAGCAGGTTGGGGTTGTGTTCAGTAGCCACAGGTGGAATATTTTGATCCTGTTCATCACCTTGGTCCCCAGGATGTCCTGAAGTGCCGAATTCCAGGTTCACTGAGCACTTCAGGATTAGCTGTTGCCTTCGGTCTGCCTGAACCCCACGTTCTGGCCACTGCACTGGGCTCTCCTCATCTCCCAGCAGTGAGAAACAGCAAATGACTGGCTCCCACTCACCATTTCCTCACCCTGATCATTTCCTACATCTCCCCCATCCCCTCTTTCCTTCCCAACCTGAACCTTCCAGCTCATTCCCTGACACTTCCCTGAATCACCGGCCGGGTTTGCTGCTTCCCTGCCCCTCTTTGCCAGCGCTCTGGGTGCATTTGGCAGAGGCAGCAGCTTGTCCCCAACGTGGGGAGGCTCTGCCAGACACAGCTCCGAGTGCTTTGCCCAAGGTAAGGCCGTGAGTCATCCCTGGAGCCGGGAATAGCTCGGGAGCAGAGCCCCCCCTTCACCTGCTGCTCCCCGTGGCCGTGGGTGTGGGCACGGGGGAACATCCCCAGCACATCTGGCCTTCCAGCAAGGGCTAAACCACCTGGAGGCAGGGAAAACACACAGCCAGGGAGGCCAGGGAGAGGTGCCCCCCTGCTTTTTTAACCCCATTTGCATCCCACAGCTCTCTCTGTTCCGAGGTCACTTCCTCATCGTCCGCCTTGAGCTGTGGGTTTGTGGCTCTAAATATTCTTATAGATGTGTTTTATAGATGTGTTTTGTAGTGGGGCTCAAACCCGGCAGCCAAAATTCCCAGAGGAAACCTCCTCCTCCTCCTCCCCATCCAAACTGCCTGTTTGGTAGTGCTGGTGCTGATCCACTCCCCAAAAGCATCTCTGTTTATCCAGGCTGGAAATTTGGAAATCTCCAAACAACCAAGCAGGGAAAGCAACACCCTCCAGCTTTGCTTCGTACAGGGAATTCACCCCCGGCAGGGCTTGAGGGAGTCGGGAGGATGCTCAGAGGGTGCAGAAGCGCTGCCAGGATCCCTCCTAAGCCCTGCTTGTCTTGAGCCCGCTCTTCGAACATCCCCCTTGGAGCCGCTGGGGTTTGCATATGGATCTGCCCTCTCCCGGCCCAAATCCGTGCCTGGGTGGGAGCCATGAACTGGGATGACTGAATCCCGGCCAGGGAGGGAGCTGGACGAAGCCTTTGCCTTCTCTTTTTGGCCGCTCGCTCCATCGCAGGAGCAAATCCCGGCGTCCAAATCCCGGCATCCACCTCCCGGCTCCCGATCCCAGCGACCGCGAAACGCCGGCAAGAAAGTCTTGCAAAATCGGGCAGGGAAAGGAGGAGGGGGGGTGGGGTGGGGTGGTGGAAAGGGGGAAAATAAACCCCGCACCTTTCACGCTTCTAGAAGGAACAAGAGCAACAAAAGGCATTCACGGGGAAAAAAAAATAGCAGAGGGCAAATAAGAGCCTTGGGGAGATGTAAATCTGGGAGAGCGGCAGCCCACGGTGGGAGGGGAGCCAAGGCTGCGGAGCAAGAGCCAGAGCCGGCGGGGATGCCCCGCACCCCTCCCTTCCCACCCCCAAAAAAAAAATGTGGGACCCGCAGGGGCAAAGCTGAACCTGGAGGGAGGCAAAGGTTTGGTGCACGGGGTTGTTCTTGCACACCCCCTGTTCTGGCACACGCGCGTGGGGCTAGGGGATGCTGAGGATGCAGGTGATGGGGATGCAGGGGGCGATGGGGGATGCAGGGGGCTGATGGGGGATGCAGGGCTGATGGGGGATGAGGAAGCGATGGGGTGCGGAAGGGGATGCTGTGCACGCGCACACACACACAGAACAGAGGCTCGATAAAAATATCGCGATTATTAGTTAAAAAGAGAGAAGGAAGGGGGGAGCAAAATGAAAAACACAGAGGGAGAGAAAAGGGGAGGGGAAGAGGGGGAGGGGGAGGGAGGGGGCAGCGCGTCACGGGAGAGATTTCCTTATTGGGACTCCCTAGCCTACATCCTGAGTCCATATATGGGCATTTACGTCACGGCAGCCTCACTGGGGACTCCAGAAATGGCTGCGGCGGAAGGTCGGAGCAGCCCCCTCCAGCTATAAAGGGGACGGCGGGGAGGCAGAGCCGGGTGTCCGCACGGGCTGCGCTGCTGCCGGGCCCCGCCTGCCCCCCATCACCGCCACCGGACCCCCGCCCACCCCCGGGCGCAGCACCCCCGCAGCATCCCGGCACCCAGCCCCAGCATTCCCAGGATTGCCCCAAGCACCCTGCAGCACCCCCCGGATTGCCCCAAGCGTCCCGGAGCATCACCCGGAGGGTCCTTGTCATCCGCCCCGAGCATCCCTCGGATCGGTCTCGGCACTCCGAGCATCCCTCGGCTCCCCGCTGAGCATCCCTCGGATCGGTCCGGGCACTCCGAGCGTTCCCGGCTCATCCTGAGTATCCCGGGCTCGCCCCGAGCATCCCCGGGCTCGCCCCGAGCATCTCCTGACTCATCCCGAGCATCTCCCGGCTCATCCCGAACATCTCCCGGCTCTCCCCGAGCATTCCCGGCTCGTCCCAGCCCGCCCCCCGTGCTCCGGCCGTGTCTCCAGGGAAGATGCTCAACGTTATGGATTTCTCCTGCCCGGATCCGCTTTACTCCAAGTACGAGGAGAGCTGCGAGATGAAAACCGGAGACCTGCAGGGCTTGGGGCAGCCTGAGCAGCAACTTCTGTCAGAGGCCGATTTCCTTGGAGGTAAGGATGGAGGAGGGGGAGGCAGCCGGGCAGGGATGAGGGACCCCGCTGGGAGTGAACGCTGCAGCCAGAAATCGGGAATCTTCCCCTCCCCTGCTCCCAGCCCCGGGCTGTGGGTTCAACAGCCCCCTGCCATCTCAGGGCGGGGGGTCCTGCTGGAGAAGGGAGGTGAATCCCAGAGCTCCCCGTGCGGCTTCAGGGACGGAGACCTCGCAGTGACGCAACACCAGCCTCCCGCTGCTCGCCCGTATCCCGCCCCCCCCAGCCCCGCAGCCTTCCATCCCTCTAACCACCGTCTCCTCTGTTTCCCAGGTGAGCTGGTGGGCGCCCCGGCGAGCGGCGGGGCCGTGGATTATTCCCTGCTGGGCAGCCAACCCTCCCCTTCCCTCAGCTACACCGGCAGCTTCTTCATCAAGGCGGTACCGGAGCATCCCCAGGACCAGGAATCCCTGTTCAACCTGATGTCGGGCATCCTGGGCATCTCCCCCTTCTTCTCCTCCTCCGACAGCCACCAGAGGCACCTGGATGCTCTTTACCCCTGTCCCGAGGTGGCTCAGGGCCAGCTGGACCTTTACCCCGCCTGCCAGCCCGAAATGAGCGGATCCACCCAGGCCCCCTTCCCGGAGCAGGGATACGGCGGATTCCCCACGGCCGAGGGGGCTCAGCCCCTGCAGGCGCAGCCCGCCTTGGGAAACACCTCCCAGTGCTTCTTCCAGCCCAAGCTCCTGGACAACAAGCAGGACATCAAGCTGTCCTCTGGCTCCCCACCCCTGGACAAGTTCAAAGCCCCCTGTGCCCAGTGGGAGCCCCTCACCCAGCACCAGGCCTACTTGCCCACCGGATACCCTTCTCCCGAAGCATTCCCGGCCGGAGAGAGCAGCCAGGGGCTGTTCCACCCGCTGGGCTCCAAGATGGAGAGCGTCCTGTCCGTGAGCTGCCAGTCGGAGCTGGGCAGCCTGGCAGAGGACGCCGCCTGCTTCGGAGCCCATCTGGGATTCGGCTGCGAGCCAGAAAACTTCCCGGCCCGCGAGGACTTCACCGACGCCAAGATCCACAACATCCCCCCTCCGCTGATGCCGGAATTCGAGGCCGCCTTGGCCCAGCCCGAGGTGCTGCCGGGGCTGATGAGCTCGGCCGAGCTCCTCCACCCTCACCCCTCGCCCTCCGTGCCCCCCACGGACTTTTTGGGCCACGCCGCCGCCTCCTCCTCGTTGCCTTCCCTGCTTCCCGCCAACCCTCCCGCCTCGGCCCAGGAGCCCAAGAGGAAAACCCGGCGCTCCAAGTGCTCCTCCAAGTGCTTCTGCCCCAAGCCCCACGAGAAGGCCTTCGCCTGCCCCGTGGAGAGCTGCGTGCGCAGCTTCGCCCGCTCCGACGAGCTCAACCGCCACCTCCGCATCCACACGGGCCACAAGCCCTTCCAGTGCCGCATCTGCCTGCGCAACTTCAGCCGCAGCGACCACCTCACCACCCACATCCGCACCCACACGGGCGAGAAGCCCTTCTCCTGCGACACCTGCGGGCGCCGCTTCGCCCGCTCCGACGAGAAGAAGCGCCACAGCAAAGTGCACCTGAAGCAGAAGGCCCGGACCGAGGAGAAGCTCAAGGGGCTGGGGTTCTTCTCCGTGGGCCTCTCCTTCGGGACACTGTGAGGCCTCCCCCGTGAGCGCCGGGACGCGCGGCGTTTGCCGAGGTTCCCCCCGAGCGTCTCACGGGAGAGCCGGGGTGGGAATTCCCTCCTGGGGCGGCCCCCCGGAGACGAGGCGAGGATGAGCCATGCCCGGGAAGGAGAAGGGCACGCGGGAGGCGGAGGTTGGGACGTGGAGCCATCTCCAAATCCTGTGTTTACAGCTCCCGTTCCGAGGAGGGGGAAAGGAAAGGAAAAAAAACACGGACAGAAAGAAATGCACGGAGAGGTGGGGGTTTTTTTAATCCCCAAACCTGCAGACACTCCGTGTTTGTAGCCGTGGTTTCTCCTGCCAGGACTTTGCAGGATGTTCCCGACCGGAGATTTCCGGATGGCACAGTCGGAGCCGTGGCTGCACCGGGTCCTTTCTCCCCAAGGAGAGAGATGCCACCAGGCTCTGGAAACCAGTGCCTAACAGGCCCTTTGGAAAGGTGATACCATTATTATTATTATTATTATTATTATTATTATTATTATTACTATTATTATTATCCTGTTTGTAAAAAAAAGCCAAATCCTCTATCAGGAATATTCCAGATTTGTGTCTATTTTTCTAATTAAAGGTTTGAGCTGATCCAAGCCCTCGCTGGGGTTGCTTCCTGCCTTTTCCATCCCATGTTTCCACTGGGTTTTTGAACCTCTTGCTGCTGTATTTTGAGGGGGAAAAAAAGGTGGTTTGATAATCAGCAGGGAGAGAAAAATCCATCGGTGCAGCATCGGGGAGGGGCTTGGTGACACTCGTCCTCAGCATTCCCAAATTTCCCAGGTGGGAGCTTATCCTGGGAGAAGGGTCTTGTCCTGGGACAGAGCAGGATCCCTGCTCCTTGCTGCTGGGCCTCCCTCCGAAAAAAAAAAGGATGTGGCTCCAGGTTTGTTCCAATGGGGCTGAGTCCTGGAGGGATCTGCTCCTCTCCTCTGGGGACCCCAAACCCAGCCCAGAGCCCCCATTCCATGTTCCTGGTCCCAAGTGGGATGTGGATGCCCTGTGTGCCCTTGGCTTTACCCACAAAAAATGGGATGAGATGCCATCCCCACTCCCCCATTTTCAGCCTGGCTCATCCATAGGGGTGGAGAAGATCCAGGCACCCCCAGGCAGGCAGGACTGTGGAGCTCTGTGAGACTGGGGGGTCTCTTCCCTCCTTTTGGCACTTTAAATGCTGGAGAGACACTGGTTCCATTCTCCTGGGAATACCAGTGCCTGGATGACACTGGAGATGACGCTGCAGCCAGGGAATGCACCTCCCACAGCAGAACTTCCCTCCTCTGGTGGCTAAAAATCAGTTAAAGCCATGAAATCCCCAAATCCCGTCCTTCTGCTGGGAGATACTTGGATGGGGCACGCTGAGCTTTGGTTTTTGGTTTCAGCTGATCAGGAGAAGATTCCTGTGGGAATGGAGGGAGCAGGAACAGGGCAGTTGTCATGGATGCTCAGGTGTTTTAGGGATGATCATCCTTTCCTTGGAGAGCGGGAAACTGAGGCAGGGAAGAGAGATGGCTGGAAAGCTGCTCTCTCCAGCGGATTTTGTCCACTGGAGAGGGGGATCTGCCCCCAGACTGTGTTAGGAAGGAAAGAGGGGGCTCCCTGTCTTATTCCCTCATGTCCCCACAGCCCTTTGCCAACACGTGGACAGGAGCATTCCGGGGCTAAACACCAGTTATCCCAGAAAACCCACTGTCCCAGTTATCCTGGCAAAATCCACTGTCCCAGTTATCCTGGCAAAACCCGAGCTCACCACGGGGTGCAAGGAACCTGTGGGGTTGGGGTGGGAGGTTGGGCAGGGGATGTGGGGGCTGAGAGCAGAGATGGGATGTGAGAAAGGGCCAGAAGGAAACCTGGTGGAGGGGGAAATCCTAAAAGTCCCCTCGGGGCTGTCCCTAAAGTCTCACCCTCCTGATGACCCCAAGGGTGCTCCTGACCTGGGGATGAACCACCCCAGGAATGTGGGAGCTCAGTCCTGAGGATGGCCCCAGACAGCAGGAAAAACCCTTTTTCTGTGGGGACACCCCAGACAGGATTAATGGGGACCTCAGACCCCAGGGTTCCCTCGGGAAGGGGCTGGTTTGGGGCGGGATGTCGGATCTCTCCGGGCCCAAGAGCCAAGCTTTCCCGTGCCACTGGTCATGAATGATGCATGAGGCCTTTATTAATACCCTCTGGAAGTGCATCCATAATTGATGCCGAGCCTGGAAGCTCTGCAGAGGCACCAGCTCCAGCCTTGGCCCTCTGCTCCCTCCGGCCAGCGCTGCCAGGGGAAGGTGGGAAGGGGTGGGAGGGATGGCAGGGATGGGACATCCCCTGGAGCAGCTGCCTCTGGGAGGGATGGGATTGAGGGAATGTGATTGTGTTGGTGGGAAGGGAGGATCAGGGACACCCCAAATCCCAGGGGATGGGGACAAACACCTGACCCCATGTCAGCACCATCCTGGGCCCAACCTGCCCTTCTTCCCACGTGTCTAGGGAGAGGAAAACACGGCAGTGCCGGATGCCTTTGGCGAGGGGAACAATCTGAGGTGGTTGGGGACTGGATGAGGACCCAGTCAGGGATTAAACTGGGATGATCAGGGACTGGATCAGGACCAAGTCAAGGATTAAGCCAGGGTGCTCAGGGACCAGCTGGGGAACAAGCCAGGATCCTGGACGGGAGGATCAATGACATCCCAAATCCCAGGGGATGGGCACAAACACTGGATCAAGACCAAGCTGGGGAGCAAGCCCAGGATACTTCAGGCCTGGATCAGGAGCAAACCAGGAATTAAGCCAAGGTGATGAGGGTCAAGCTGAGGACCCAGCTGGGGTGTTTAGGGATCAGCTGGGAACCAAATCAGGGTGCACCTGAACTCAATCAGGACCAAGACAAGGATTAAGCCAGGGCAATCATGGACCAGATCAGGATCAGCTGGGAAGCAGCCCAGGGAACTCGGTGACTGGACTAGGACCAAGCCAGGGTTCTTCAGGACCAGCTGGGAACCAAGCCAAGGACCAAGACAGGGTGCCCAGGGACTGGATCAGGACAAAACCAGGGTGCTTGGGGACCATCTGGGGACTAAGACAGTGACTAAACAGGGTTCAGGGACCAGATCAAGACCAATTTGGGAATCAAACCAGGGCAGGATCAAGCCAGGGATTAAGTCAGACTGCTGAGGTACCAGCTCAGGACTAAGCCAAGGACCAAATCAGGGTACTCAGGGGCTGGATCAGGACCAAGGTGGGGACAAAGCTAGGGTGCTCAGGCACTCAGTCAGGACTGAGGTAAGAATACTCAGGGACTCAATCAGGATCAAGGCAGGGATGGAGGGAGGATGGTCAAGGACTGTCTCAAGACCAAGGCTCTGTCCTGGCACCTGTGGGTCCAGCCCGGGACAGGGAAGGAACAACTCAGGTGCCCAGGCTGTACCACACACTCCCCCGGGGGAGGATGCTCGGGGTGATCCCGGCCGGGAGCTGCCAGGGGCAGGGGCTTCACCGGTGGGGGCGAGGAGGGGCTTGGGGGGCAGAGGGGGAGCAGGGGGGCCAGCAGGCTGCCGTGGCAGCCAGGCCCGCGGTGTTCGTGGGGACACAGGCAGAGGGAGCTGTGCGGGAGCAACGCGGCAGTGAGACGAGCCGGGCTCCGGCTGCAGAGGAGGAGGAGGAGGAGGAGGAGGAGGAGGAGGAGGCGGCTGCCGGCGCTCGCCCTCCTCCTTCCTCCATCCCTGCATCCCTCCTTCGCCATGCAGAGCCCCCCCTGAGCCCCCAGCGCCCGGGGGACCCGCCATCCCCAGGGTGCCCAGCAGGGCTCCCGCCACCCCGCCGGGGCCTTCAGCCTCTGCTTCCTTCCTTCCTTCCTCCTCCTCCCCTCCTCCTTCCCTCCCCCCACCACCCCCCGCAGCCACCACCCTCCCTCCTTCCCCAGGGCCTGCCTGGCATGGAGGTGCTGGCCACGGGGAGCCGGATGCTTCCCGCGGGCTGCATCCCTCCTTCCCCGCATCCCCTGTGGCTGCATCCCTCCTTCCCCGCGTCCCCGTGGCTGCATCCCTCCTGCCCCGCATCCCTCCGCCCTGGCACATCCCTGAGCCGCTCGGCAGCCGCCTCCTTTGTGCAGCGGAGCGGCTGTGCGGGCTCCGTGTCCCCCCCACTCCTCACCCCCCCCCAAGCCCGCAGCCCCGGCTCGGGGGTGGCCGGCGGGCGAGCGGGAGCGATGCTGCCCTCGCCGGAGGAGCCCAGCGCGGGAGGTCGGCGGCCAGAAGCAGGTATGGGGTGAAACGGGCTGGTTTGGAGCGGGGATGCTGCGCTGGGAGGTGGCGGTTCAGCCCCAGGATGCTCCTCACCCAGGGCCCCCGGGAGCGGGGTAGGGGGGGGGACGCAGCGGGGACAAAGCCACTGGCAGGCGGTGAGGGGGGACCCGCCGCTCCCCGCTCCGGGGGCTTGGGAGGGATAAATGCACCCCGGATTTTCACGCCCAGCTGCCCCCAGGCCCCCCTGTGCCTCACCCCCGGCCTCCCGCGCCCACCAGGGCGCTCCCACCCTGCTCCTTCCCATCCCTCCGGAGTGCCGGGAATGGACGTGGATCGGCAGCACCCACCGCCCGGGCATCATCCGCCACCCCAGCACCCTCCTCCACCGCCACCTCTTTTCTCCATCCCCCGCTTCCCTCTTTAACCAGGCAGTGGAGCTGCCTGCTGGAATATATATATATATATAATTATATTTTTTTTTTGGCGGGGGGTGGGGAGGGTGGGCAGGAAAAATGTTAAACAATGCGAAGAAAGGCTCCATGATGAACCGCAGGTAGCGGCGCCGGAGCAGCCCGGGGATGCTGCAATCCCCCGGCGGTCGGGAGCGCTTCCCGGCTCCGGATGCCTCGGGGGCTTTATTAGCGTGGCCGCCGCCGTAGTAATGACTCCACGAATAATTTCCTTAAATCCCCGCTTGTTGCCAGGGAGATGGGAGGGAAGGGAGGTTTTGTGGTCGCGGCGAGACCTGCCCGGCAGAAGGATCGGGCGATATGTGCTTCCCGATCCACCTGGGCCGGATCCCGCCTTGCTTTAAGGCTGGAAAATACGGGATGGGGGTGGTTGGGTATTCCAGGAGCCACGGGCAGGGATCCAGGCCTGAGATGCCGGGGACACGATGCTGTGGCTTCATCCCTGTGCTGGAAAAGAGCTTTCTCATCCCACCGGAGTTGCGGGATGTGCTTTGTGCTCGCCTGAGGTGGGGGTTTAACATGCAGGGGGGTGATTTGTGATGACCCCAAACAGCTCCAGAAACCCTCCCAGCTCATCTTGGGGTTTTGTTGCTTTTTTTCCCTCATGGATTTCTTGCCTTTTACTGATTTCTTTTCCCTTCAAAAATGGTTTCCCAACCTCGTGGCCTGGTTGTGCCCCCCCGAGGGGGATGCTGAGCCACCAGGGATGTTGCTCTGGGGACCAGCATGGATGGAGTGGTGGATCAGTGCTCACCAACTGCTGGTTATGGGATGCAGGAGGGCTCAGAGGGGTTTTTAAGGTGCTGGGAAGAGCCCTTTGTGGGATATTGCAGCGGGATGAGCCAGGGATGCTCCCACCCAGGGGTGCTCTCAGAGTTTTGGAGTGAAAGCTTCACCATTTTCACTACTGAATGAAAAAATGAATGAAAAAATGAAAACATCATACCCTGATTTGTGTTTGTGCCTCCCAGGCTGGGTTTTTCCTGCCTTATCCCATTTCAAAAGGGTGGGGGCTTCCTGGCCCTGATGTCTTGGAGGATTTTGGGAGTGAGGGATAAACCAGGTCCCACAGAGAGCCTCACTTGCCCAGGCATGGGAAGCCACCATGTCCTCTGCATCAGACAGTGTGGAGGGTTCCATGGATTGCTGAGAACTCTTGGAGATAAATCCTGTTGTGAGGCTGCACGGGCGGATCCAATAGGATTGGGTCACCCTTTGCTTGGAGAAGGTGGATCCCAGCAGCCCAGTGTCAGACACAGGGATGATCCTGGGGCTGGGAGACCTCTGATACTGCAGGATACTCTTGGGTCACCTCTTCCACCTCCTGTGGCAAACTCAGGGTGGATGGAGGGAGGTTTCCCATGGGTTGTCCACCTTCCTGATGGCTGCACTCCTCCGGAATTCTTGTAAACCTTCCCGATGGTTGGGCACCTTTCCAAGGGGTGGGGGACCTTCCCAACGGTTATGGATCTTCCCAAGGCGTTCATAGAATCATTTAGGTTGGAAAGGACCTCTAAGATCATCGAGTCCAAAGGCTATGGAGCTTCCCAAGGGTTGTGGAGCTTCCCAAGGGTTGTGGAGCTTCCCAAGGGTTGTGGAGCTTCCCAAGGCTTGTGATTCTTCCCAAGGCTTGTGATTCTTCCCAAGGCTTGTGATTCTTCCCAAGGCTTGTGGAGCTTCCCAAGGCTTGTGGATCTTCCCAAGGCTTCTGGAGCTTCCCAAGGCTTCTGGAGCTTCCCAAGGCTTCTGGAGTTCCCAAAGGCTGTGGCTCTTCCCAAGAGAGAGTGGGAGGAACAGGGGAGGGTGGGGTGGAGGCAGAGAGGGCACCAAGAAGAAGGACCAAGGAGGGATTTTTGGGGACCCATCACCCCCGTATCACTCACCCCACCCGTCTCTTCCAGCGCCCGTCACCGGCCGATGCTGACACCCCCCCGAGAACCCCCAGACCCCGCCACCTCCACCCCAGAGCCCTAGCCCCGGCCATGCCCCAGCGGAGCCGCCACCCCACGTCCCGGGGCTCGTGCCCCATGCCGGCCGTGTCCCCCCGTGCCGCGCCGTGAGCGCCGGGGCGCCGCGCTGAGGGATGGCCTCGCTGGACCTGCCCTACCGGTGCCCGCGCTGCGGGGAGCACAAGCGCTTCCGCAGCCTGTCCTCGCTGCGGGCCCACCTGGAGTACAACCACACCTACGAGACCCTCTACGTCCTCTCCAAGACCAACAGCATCTGCGATGCCGCCGTCTTCCCGCTGGCCGCCGACGGGGCGCTGCTGGCGCCGGCGGCGCGCAGGGACTACTTCGAGAGCACCTCCTTCCAGGGCAAGGACCAGCGCTTCTCCTGCGACCTGGTGCCCGCCGAGGAGCTGGAGCCGGCGCCGCCCTCTTCGCCCTCGCCCCGCTACGTCCACGAGATCGAGATCCCGCTGACCGAGATCTTCACCCGCGGCAAGGCCGTGGCGCCGGCGCCGCCCGCCGCGATGGACGCGGCCTACGAGGAGGGGCTGGCGCGGCTGAAGATCCGCGCCTTCGAGAAGCTGGAGGTGGACAAGCGGCTGGAGAAGCTGACGGAGGAGGTGGAGCAGAAGATCGCCTCGCAGGTGGGCCGGCTCCAGGTGGAGCTGGACCGCAAGAGCTCGGAGCTGGAGAAGGCCAAGCAGGAGAGCCTGCGGCTGAGCAGAGAGAAGCAGGAGCTGGAGGACCGGGCGTCGGAGCTGTCGCGCCAGGTGGATGTCAGCGTGGAGATGTTGGCCTCCCTCAAGCAGGACCTGGTGCAGAAGGAGCAGGAGCTCACCCGCAAGCAACAGTGAGTCCTTTGCCCCGCCTCGCCGGCTGCAGGGTGGGGGGAAAGGGGTCCCCGGTGGTGAATCCCAGGGAAATTGTGGATGTTCCACCCCTGGAGGTGCTCAAGGCCGGGCAGGAGGCAGCTCTGAGCAACCTGGCCTAGTGGAAGGTGTCCTTGTCTGTAGAACAGGATGGTGTTTCAGGTCCAGTCCAACCCAAACCATTCCGTGGTTCTGTGAGTGCTGAGGAGCCCGACACGGTCACCAAACCCTCAGACCGAGTGCTCAGGCACAGTTCAGTTCCCTTGGCAATGCCCCTCGGCATCAGCCCCCATCAGGTTTTGCATCTTTTCCCACGTGGTCAGTGTCCACATAGTCCTCAGCCCCTCCACGAGTGAGTCCAGCCTGGATCACGTCGTGCCAGACCTTGTCCCAGAGCCAGCAGTGCTGCCAGGACAAGGCCAGGCTGGAGATCATGGAATCATGGAATGCATTGGGTTGGAAGGGACCTCAAATCCCATCTCATCCCAAACCCCTGCCGTGGGCAGGGACACCTCCCACTGGATGCACATGGCCATCCTGCTGTCCTGCCCAGGAACGTGGTGAGGGCCATGGTGCTGCAGCCCATCTCTAGTCCCAGAGGATGTCCCCCTAAACCCAAGACTGGCTCATCCCCTCTGCCTCCACAGCCAAATTATCCATCCCTATCCAACCTGAGCATCCCATCGACCTGTCCCACTGTCAGAAACCTGAGAGGGGCCACCCTGGCTGTGCCAAATTCAGGGGGTTTCTCCCAGACAGAGGGTGGGACAGCCCAAGCACCGTGACCTCCACTTGCTGGTAGGACCACGGCCCTGCCATCCTAATTTTCATCCCATATTTCCCACTCAGCACCCCCTCCCCACCCCAACACTGCTCCCAGATCTCCCTCCAGCCAAACACTGGGTTGTTTTGTTGCCTCAGCAAACCAGGCCTTGTTCCTCAGGAGTTTCTTGTCAAATCCCAGGGCCACCACAGGGTCCAGAAAGTCAGTGAGGAGCAGGTTAGTGAGGGACAGTCATGGCTGGGCTGGGCTGGCAGCACTGGTGGGATTCCTCAAGGATTTGTCTTCACCCCCACCATCCTCAGCACGTTTGTTTAATGACTTCTGCTCCAAAATAACAACTGTGGCTCAGAAAGAGGCATCACAGGATGTGGTGGTGGTGGGGATGGTCCTGGGGTGATGATGGGATGATGCTGGGGCTGGATAAGGACACCACCTCTTAGTTTGGGGACGTATGGGGGTTTTTTTGGGTGCTGTCCAGGGGCATTTTGGGGATACATGGTGATGGAATGAGGGACACAATTCCAACTGGAGCAGAGCCTGCAGACATGCAGACAGGGTAACCAGAGGATGACCAATGGGTCAAATGTGTCTTGGTCGGTCCATGGTGGAGCCTGGACGCTGTTACCACCTAAAAACCTGGGTTTGTGCCCCAAAACAATCTCCTGGATCTCCCTTTCTTTAGACAAACCCTCCTGCCCCTCCACTGTCCCCATCAGTCCCCAAACTCCTCCACCCACCAGTGGGACCAAATCCCTTGCCAGGTTGCAGAGAAGAGCTGATGGTCAGAGATGGTTTTCTCCCAGGCTTGGGGAAGTCCTCAGAAATCATTTTCAGTGCCAAAACCATTCTGGGGACACTTCCCAGCCCTGCCAGCTCCCACACATTCCCGCAGCCGTTGTCCCCACGGGAGGCTTTTTGCTCCTGGGCTCCGTTTGCTTTGCCAGGGGTGTTTTTCCACCCAGTCCATGGGAATGAGAGAGCAGCAGGTGATAACCATCAGCATCACCTTACACCTGCTGCCCAGTGCCCCATTTGCCTTCCAAATCTCTGGAGGCCCCTCGCCAGGAGCCTTCCCAGGGCATCAGCAGGAGCTCCAAGGCACAGCCTGCAGCTGGCAGGTGGGGGGGGGAAGAGGGGGGCATTAAATGGTGATTAATTGGTAATTAAATGGTAATTAATGGCCAGCAATGGGAATTATGTCACTGAGGGCTGTCCCTTCCTTTTCCTTTGGGCTTCTGAGTAGACTGGTGTGTCCAGGTCAGCATGGTCAGGGGTGCAGGGTGGGGGTGTGTGGTCAGGTTTCTGTGGTCAGGTGGGTGTCCAGGGCTGGGTGTGATGGTTGGCTGTGTGGTCAGGTGTCCCAGGTCAGGTTTCTGTGGTCAGGTGGGTGTCCAGGGCTAGGTGTGATGGTTGGCTGTGTGGTCAGGTGTCCCAGGTCAGGTTTCTGTGGTCAGGTGTGCACAGTCAGGCACCCAAGGTTCAGGTGTGCGTGGTTAGACGTGCCAAGCTGTGTCTGTGCACCCTGGGGGCTCCTGGCTGCTGAGGGAGAGTGTGAGGTGGTTGTGCCTGTGTCTGTGTGTGTGTGCAACAAGTGTGTTTGGTGCCAGGGGTGTGTGTGACCAGCTGTACCAATGCCTGGGGTGTGTGTGCTCATGGAATGGTTTGGGTTGGAAGAGACCTTAAAGCCCATCCAGTTCCACCCCCTGCCATGGGCAGGGACACCTTCCACTATCCCAGGTTGCTCCAACCTGGCCTTGGACACTGCCAGGGATCCAGGGGCAGCCACAGCTTCTCTGCCCAACCTGTGCTGGTGCCTCCCCACCCTCTGTGTGTCCGTGTCCATGTCAGGGTGTACATTGGGTCTGTGTTTCCCTGGTGTGTGTGGTGCCCTCGTGAGTGTGCAGGACAGCTCTGGTGTCTGTGTCCCTGGGTGTGCACACGTGTGGCACCTCCATCTGCAGGGCTGGGATGGCTACAGCTCCACAGCTGCTCACTGGTGTGCTCTGTCTGAGTGTAATTCCATGCAGTTTTGGGAAGTGGATGAGGCCAGTGGATGTTCGTGCCTGGACACACTTGTGTGGGTGTCTGTGGGGGGGTGGGATGGGGCCAGCTGGGTTGGCTGAGCTGCTGCCCCCCAGAGCTGGCCACATTTTGGGGTGAAACCAGCCCATCTCCAGGCTCAGAGAACCTGCTAATTAATGTGTAAATGAGACAGACAGGGCTCTGCAGCCACTGGGCTTAACAGGGTACAGGCCTGAGGGGGTTTAGGGAAACCAGGCTACTCCTGAGGTCTTTCCTAAGTCTGCCCCAAAGAAGGCAGGGTTCCACCTCCATCCTCCTCCCTCACCCCACTGCACCATCCTCCTCCTCCTCCCTCTGCTCCATCGAGCTCAGGAGCCTCATTCCAGTCCTGGAAATGACACACGAGGCGCTGGGGGTGTCACCTCTCCCCAGAACAAGGTGCCAACATCCACCCTGCATGGTGGGAGCACCCCTTGGTCCCTGCTCTGCCCCAAAGCGTCTGGGCTGGCACAGACCCGGACCAGGCTGATGACGGAACAACCCGGATGCGCACGAGCACCCTTGACCCCCCCAGCCCAGCCCGGAGGTGCTCTCCGGGGATGGGTGGGGAAGGACTGGGGTGTCACCCACTGGCCCCTCCACGCAGGGAGGTGCTGCAGATCGACCAGTTCCTGAAGGAGACGGCGGCGCGCGAGGCCAACGCCAAGGTCCGGCTCCAGCACTTCATCGAGGAGCTGCTGGACCGGGCGGATCGGGCCGAGAAGCAGCTCCAGATCATCAGCAGCAGCTGCGGGACTACCCCAAACGGCAGCCTGGGACGCTGCGGGACCCCCGGGGCCAAGGCCATCTGCCGACCGGTACCTCCACGGGCACAGGCACGGCCAGCCGGCGGCACCGGGAACTCCTCTGGGGGCTGCCAAGGGTGGAGCGGGGAGGTGTAGGGGCCCCCTTCTCATTCCCACGGGGAAGTGGATAATTCGAGGGGGGGAGGATCCCAAAGATCCCGAAGAGAAGATGCTTCTCGGTGGACCTGTGTTTCCGTGGGGACGTTGGAGATGCTCTTCGGCATCCCGCTGGGTATGGGCCTCTCCCCGCAACGCAGGTGGCACTGGGTGGGGTTTTTGGGGTCGTCTCTTCGGGGTGCACCACCCACACGTTGGGGTCTGCCACGTTGGCTCCTCTTGTCCCATCTCCCTGCAGAGAGACCGTCACCCAGGGCCGTGCGTGGCCGTGCACGGTCCCTACGGCGTGTCCAACCAGCGCTCCTCCTCCAGCACCGGGTGAGTCCCCGCCCCTGCTGCCTCCCCGGGATTTTCACGGGACGCGGGCTTCGATCTGCAGGTTGCCTGTGTGGCTTTAAATCAGGGTCTGAACACCTGGGTGCTGACAATTCTAACCTGAGGGCTATCTTTGCCCGCACGTCGCGATTTCCACACAGCACCTATTCCAGGGGGCAAAGATCCCGGGAGAGAAGGGGAGGGGAGGCGGCGTTCAGCCTTCCAAACGTTCACGAGCTCGGCGTAATTTTGCAAAAGAAAAACAGACGCCACCGAGCGCACGGAGGGGATTTTTGCAGTGACAGGAACCGGCCGGTGGGTTTTATTTCAGCGATGGGATAGCAGGAGACGCACGACGGGAAATACCTCACGGGAAAGAGGCTGCGAGCCCCGCACCATTCGCGGAGCTGACGGGGAGGGGATGCCCGTCCCAGAGAGACCTGAGGTCGGGCATCCCTCTCCCCCCTTCTCCCCCCCGCCATCCCCTCCCAGGGCGTCCAGCCGGGCCAAGGCCGTGTCGCAGAGCTCGGGGTGCTACGACAGCGACAGCGCCGAGCCGTGTCCCACGGACGACACGGCCGACGGGCATCCCTACGCGGCGCGGGACGGGACCCGCGGCTCGGGGCTGCGCCGCCAGGCCATCCAGAACTGGCACCGCCGGCCCTACCGCAACAGCACCGAGGGGGAGGAGGGCGACGTGTCCGACGTGGGGTCCCGCACCACCGAGTCGGAGGCCGAGGGCTGGGAGCAGGACGCGCCCGGATCTGCCGCGCCCCGGCCCACGGCGAGCTGCCGGCTGACGGGTGAGAGGGACCGCGGGTGGGGCAACGCTCCAGCCCTGCGAGATGCAGCCCACGGGCTCAGCCAGGGGTTTCGCTTTAAAATATGGATCTGGGGTTCTTTAACACCCCGAGAAAACATCAAGAGAATAAGCCACGGGCTTGTTCCCAAGGGGTTTCTTTGTTAATTTAGGGGAGAAATTAAGAGGACTTGGCCAAAGTTCAAAAAGGGCGCCACACAAGCTGGACAGAGTGTTCCACCACAATATCAACCCAGCACAGACTAATCCACAACACCTGGAGTCACAATCCAACCCCTGCAGCTCCCAAAGCCACCCAGAGCATCAAGAGGGGCAGAGAAAGAGGAGCAGAGGAAGCAGGAAGAGAGAAGGAGAAAGAGGGAGAGACAGATCCTGGAGCTGCCATTGGGACCTTGTAGAAGACCAATCCCATGTCCAAATGGCGGGAACACGTGGTCTTTGGTTTTGGTCCCTCTGGCCACCCCCCAGGAGGGGTGTGTGACCCACCGGCCACTCTGAGGCTCCAGGCCAGGGTGAGGGGCAGTGTCCCCACTGTCCCTGCCAGTCTGAGCTGGGGGAGGGGCTGCAGGAGCTGTGGGGTGTTCTAGGGCAGTGTCTCCACTGTCCCTGTGATTTCTGGGGTGTTCTAGGGCAGTGTCCCCACTGTCCCCATATGAGCTGTGGGGTGTTCTAGGGTAGTGTCCCCACTGTCCCAGTCTGAGCTGGCTCAGAGGCTGCAGGACTCTTGTATTCCAGTTTTCCCAGGCTGTTTGGGACTGGCAGCTGCTCCAGGGCTTCTCTATGTGGGCTCCTGGGGCTGCCATGGGGGACACAACCCCACCCCACCTCTGTGAGGTTCCACCCATCCCTTCCCCCTCCACACACACACAGACACACACACACACACTCCCCATAAGGTGATTCTGACCCAAGAATCACTGATCTGGTGTCAAACAGGTGGGGGTGTCACGGGAGAGGGTGGAAGGCTTGGACAAATTTATTACACAAGCCTTGAGTCTCGAGGTGCAGGAAGGACTCCCTGGCTTTCTAAACTCCTCCTCAGAGAAGGGTTTAGTTGAGGCTGAATCCTGTCTTAGCCTCAGGCCCGTGTCAACGGTTTAAATTGAAGGAATTATAGAGGTGTGATGAAACCACTTTGTCCTGCAGGTTTTCATGGTGGCAAAAGTGTTTAATTGCATAAAACCAATTATTTATTATGACAAACAAACAGCCAAATGAAAAGACAATATATCTTAATCAGAATTGTTTACTACACAGTGTAAAAGCTAAAAACCTACCAGTAGGGTCTAATGTGGCATAAAGTAGTGTAGTGCACTGTACCAAAGCAGTTATTTAAAGCAATTGTACCAAACCCAGCAAAATCATTAAGCTGAGATTGATATAACTCACCAAGAGGGAGGAAGGGGAGGGTGGGAGGGTGGGAGCTGGGGGACAGGGATGGAGCTGCCCTCACCTGCCCTTCTCCCTGTCCACCAGTGGCCACGGACGCCGGGTGTCCCCCGGCCAGGACTGAGGGGGCCGGGGGCAAGGTGTGCCGGCTGGAGAGGGGCAGCCCAGGCCACTCCAGCGAGGTGATCAGCCCCGAGATCCTCAAGATGAGGGCGGCTCTGTTCTGCATCTTCACCTACCTGGACACCAAGACCCTGCTGCGGGCGGCCGAGGTGTGCAAGGACTGGAAGTTCGTGGCCCGGCACCCGGCCGTGTGGACGCGGGTGCTGCTGGAGAACGCCAGGGTGTCCTCCAAGGTACTGGGGGTGGCACTGCCCTGGGGGGGGAGACCTTCCTGCCAGGGGTGGGGTGAAGCTGTGCCAGCATCTCATTGATGGGGCGTGTTGGTGGTCGTGGCTCTGTGGTCACGGGGGTGCGTGTGTGTGCACAGACCTGCCCAAAGACAGCCAGGGATGGGTGGGGAGGGACACGCTGAGGGTGCCCACCTCGGTGATGACCACCCCTGTCCCCCCAGTTCCTGGCCATGCTGTCGCAGTGGTGCACCCAGATGCACTCCCTCACCCTCCAAAACCTCAAGCCGCGCCAGCGGGGGAAGAAGGAGAGCAAGGAGGACTACATGAAGAGCACACGGTGAGTCCCTGTGCCCTGATCACCCACAGCTGGAGTCACTGGTCCTCAGGGATGATGCTGGTGCTCCATGAGCCTTCCCCTGACTCAGCTCCAGCCACTCCCTGGGAGCTGTCCCCCCAGAGCAGAGCTCAGTCCTGCCCCTCCTCTGCCCCTGCCCAGGATGTTGTAGCTGCAGTGAGGTCTCCCCTCAGTCTCCTCTTCTCCAGCTGAACACACCAAGTGCCCTCAGCCCAGAGGGTGGTTGGCACTGCCCAGGCTCCCCAGGGCAGTGGGCACAGCCCCAAGGCTGCCAGAGCTCCAGGAGGGTTGGGATGATCCTCTGGGGCACAGGGTGGGATTCTTGTGGATGGGCCTGTGCACCCCTGAGGGTTGGACTGGATGATCCTGGTGGGTCCCTTCCAGCTCAGCATTTATGTGATCCTGTGATCCCATTTCCACCGAGGGGCACTGCTCCCTGCTGTGGGTTTCGACCATCCCAGAGCCATGGGGTGGCCATGGGGAATGTAAACATGGCTTCCCGTGCCTGATCCTGCCTCCATCCCTGGCAGGGGCTGCCTGGAAGCTGGTCTGGAGTCGCTGCTGAAGGCCACGGGCAGCAACCTGCTGATCCTGCGCATCTCGCACTGCCCCAACGTGCTGACGGACCGCTCGCTCTGGCTGGCCAGCTGCTACTGCCGGGCCCTGCAGGCTGTCACCTACCGGTAAGGATGGCCACCCACAACCCCCTGCTCGGCCACGGGGCTGGGAGAAATCTGGGAACACCCATGGGATGTGCTGGGGCTCTGCTGATGCCCATCCCCACCCCCCACCCAAACGCTGTCCAGGTGTGAAGGACCCACCTCTCCATGTCCCCAGCCCAGCAGCACCCTCAGTGTCCTCCAGCTGTCCTTTCAACTCCCATCCTCTTCTGGTGTGTTTTCCCTTCCAGCTCCATTCCCAGCATCCTGTTACCATCTCATCCCAGCTGGAGGCCTGACCAGGGCCTTGGTGGGGGAACACTGCTTTGTGTTAGAGAAGGGTGAGGAAGAGGTGCTGAGGAAGGTCCCACCTGACTGTCACCCCCTGGTGAAGGCTTCTGAGAGGGAGGAGAGGCTCAGGGTCCTCTCTCCTGGGAGGGAGGAACAGCTCTGCCATGGGATAGCTAAGATCCAGCTTGGAGACCTCGCCCAAGATCAAGGATACAAGTCTCTGATGTAGGTCCTGGAGGAGGTCACAGGTCCTGGAGGAGATCACTGACCTCTCCTTGGTCTTGGCCACCTTCCAAAGAGGCTCTGCCTGCTGTGGAGGCAGGATTTACCTTCCCTGTACACTGCAGGAGGATGATCCTTGCTCCCACTGCACCCTGCAGACGATCACTTCAGCCTGGGAATCCATTTTCCCTGCAGCTGACGTGTGTCCTCACCCAGCCCAGGATGGAGGAACCTTCAGGTGGGGAGATCACATCCAGCCACTTCTCTGGTATGGATCTTATGAGCTCAGACACGGCTCTGGTCGGGGGGTCCTGCCCCATGAGGCAGCTCAAAGCTGCTGGGCTTGACCCAAAGCCTCCTCCATCGGCTCCTCCAAGGGCAGCAGAGCAGGTCCAAGCACTCCTGGCACATCTCTAACCTGTGACTCTGACTCATGCTCTAATTAACCTGCTGCTCTTGGCAACCTGCTCCGGTGGAGATGCGAGAAGCGCTCGAGATAACGCCCCTCGCTTATTTTTAGGCTCGCCTGAAGTTTTGAAGTAGGTCATTTGGAGTTAGGAAGCACGGCCCCGGTCTCCAGGAGACATCCTGGTGTGGTGGAACAGCCAGGGAGGCCTCTGTCTGGGCTGGTGGCATCAGGATGGTGCTCTCTGACATCTCTCCCTGGCGCTGGGAGCATCAGCAGAAGCTCCTCTGAGCCAACCCAGTGGCTCCGCCCTGACTCGTGGTAAACCCACACCTCCACCACCCCCTGCACGAGTCCAGCGGCACCCCATGAGGTTTTGATAGCTCCAAAAACACCAGGGAGGAGCCCACAGTGAAAACACCTGCAGTGGCATTTGGCCAAGAGCCACCACAGAGCTGGGACGGAGGCCACAGAGCAGCCACTGCCCCGGCTGGAATGTCCTTCCCACCTGCTGGCACCTTCCCCATCCCCGAGGCAAACCCCGTGGGATCTGCAGGGATCTGCTCTTCGAGGGTACATGGCCTGGCAGTCTCAGCCAATCACCTCTGTCACCTTTGCATCTGCAAGATGCCCCTTCAACCTCCCCTTCAACCTTCACCCCCCCCTTCAGCTTTGCCTCATCCTCCACCTCACCTTCAGCCTCACCTTCTTCCGTCGCTCTCGACGTTGCACATCCATAGGCACAATTCCAGACAGGAATGCCTTCAGCCTTCCAACACAGGCGGTGTGGGGACTGCCTGGTCCACGGGCAGGTTGCAGGTTATAAATAAGGATGAGATTTGCACCTCCAGGTGCTCCAGGGAGCAGCTCAGAGGCTGCAGATTGAGCCCCCGGAGCGGCGCCGCTGCCGGTGGGGCCACCACGTGTCCTCTGTGTTGTTCCAGGAGCTCCACGGACCCCGTGGGTCATGAGGTCATCTGGGCCCTTGGAGCAGGTTGCAGGGACATCATCTCCCTCCAGGTCGCACCTCTGCACCCCTGGTAAGAATCATGGAATGGTGGAATGGTTTGGGTTGGAAGGGACCTTAAGGATCATCCAGTGCCACGGGCAGGGACACCTTCCACTAGAGCAGGTTGCTCCAGGTTGCTCAGCCTGGCCTTGGACACTTCCAGGGATGGAACTGTGTTAGGTGGAGGCTGAGTGTGATGGCCTGGAAAGAAACTGGGTGCCGGATTTGCTTCGAGAAGGTCTCCATGGAGGATGAGCAGCAATCCTGGAGGCAGGTTTGGGAGACCAGGAGCTCAGCCCCATCCCTCCCTGTGGAGGCTGGGAGCTGGTTGGTTTAGACACCTCCCTGCTGAGCCAGGAATGTTTCCATGGAGGCTGCTCACCCTGGAGATGAAAGGGAAGCCGTGATGGCTCCGGTTGGTGACACTGAACATCAAACGCTTGTCTGAGCTCCTCGGTGCTCACGTAAGAGCAGCCCTGAAGGGCCGGGAGGTTGTTGAAAGGGTGTCACTGCTTGGGGAGACGACTCCCACTTTTGGAAAAGCATTTTGGGGGCGTGATGATGCTGGTGGGTCTCCACCCCACAAGGTCTGGGTGCTCAGGAGCTCGTGGCTCGCAGGGCAGGTCACTCTGTGCCACGGGAATGCCCCCAGGGCGTTTCTCCTTGCCTGGGAGGTCTGTTGTGATGTCACATGTCACATCCCCGTCAGCACGGATGGAGGAGCACACAGGGGATGTCACTTAGCAGGAGAAGCTGGATGTCAGGTCCTGGTGGCTTGTGTCTTCCCTGGGGGGAAGCAGCACATGGCATGTCAGCTTCTCCACCTGAGCCGGAGCTCCAGGCTCCTGCTGACGCTTTGATCTGTGCAGGAAACAATTCCAGAGCCTGATTCAGGTCTCCAGAGAAGGGAGAGTCATGGAATCATGGAATGGTGTGGGTTGGAGGGGAACTTAATGATTGTCTCGTTCCAACCCCCTGCCACGGGCAGGGACACCTTCCACTAGCCCAGGTTGCTCCAAGCCCCGTCCAACCTGGGCTTAGACACTCTCAGGGATGGGGTACCCACAAATTCCCCGGGCAGGATGGAGGGTTTGGGGCACTGAGCTGCCCTGTCCTGGTGGCAGCACAGCCATCCCCTCACAGCACGACCACCACGGGGTGGGTGGGGTGGGCGCTGCTCCAGTCCCACTCCACTTCCAGGAGCGCTCGTGGAGAGAGGCCTGAGCTTTGCTGGCAGCCCTGCCCAGCTGTTTCTCCTCCCTCTCCCCAGCCAGCAGCCGACTCGGTTCAGCAACCGCTGCCTGCAGATGATCGGGCGGTGCTGGCCCCACCTGCGGGCGCTGGGCGTCGGAGGCGCCGGCTGCGGCGTCCAGGGACTGGCATCCTTAGGTAGGCACCTCTCTAGGAATCCGTAAGGCTGGAAAGGACCTCTGAGGCCACCGAGTCCAACCCCTGGCCCGACGCCACCGCGTCACACAGCCCGTGGCTCTGAGTGCCATGTCCAGCCTTTCCCCGAACACCTCCGGGGACGGGGACTCCACCACCTCCCTGGGCACCACCTCCCTCCTTCTCCCCTGGTGGCATAAGGATAAGGGTACCTTGCAGGTCCCCTTGGGAATCTCAGTGGAGATCCAGGTCCCTGGGTGCACCCCACCACCCCTCGCTGCCACCCACCCCCTTTTGCCATCGGTTGTGCTCATCCCTCCCCCGTGGGACGCTGACAGGGGGTGCTCTGTCCCTCCAGCCCGAAACTGCATGAGGCTCCAGGTCCTGGAGCTGGACCACGTGGCCGAGATCAACCAGGAGGTGGCAGCCGAGGTGTGTCGGGAGGGGCTGAAGGGGCTGGAGATGCTGGTGCTGACGTCCACCCCGGTCACCCCCAAAGCCCTGCTGCACTTCAACAGTGAGTAGCGATGCCAGGGGGCATCACCCCTTCACCACGAGGCCGCCAGATATCCAGATCCCCTGGAGCAGATCCTTCCTTCCAGCCCCACCCACAGGAACCTGTTGGCGCTGGGAGGGGCTGGGAGCTCCATGGTGGGAGGTCCCTAAGAGGGGATCCAACATCCCCTTGCCAAGGGTGGGTCAGGAGAGCTGATCTTGCCTTGGGCCACAGGGAGGATGGAGATGCTCCCTCGCTGCTCCCCACGATGCAATCCAGACCTCAGCGTCTGTGACACACCTGAGGTTCACCGTGGTGTGTCTGAGTTTGGGGTTGCTGAAGTCATTTCCCAGGACAGGAGGTCCACAGCCATCAGCAGGGTCTGTCCTGGTGGCCATGGCTCATGGGACTGTGGTGGGACTTGCTGGGAACCCAACCCTCTGGATAGAAGGCCGAGGGTTTCCCAAGGGAGTGGCAGGAGGCTGATTTGGGACAGTCAGGACAATCAGGGACCATCTCGTAGCCCAGCATTGGTCTCGGCCACCACGAGCAGGTCCCCTCCAGCTTCAGGGTGAGGTTTCCCCATGTGCACAAGGCCTTGAGGAGCATTGGGTGGGATCTGGGGTCCGTGCTGGCCGGGGGGAGGCTGTTTGCCCCCAGGTATGGAGAATTCAGGTGGTTTCCTTGCCCCTCAGGTGTGTGCCGGAACCTCAAGTCCATCGTGGTGCAGGTGGGAATCGTGGACTATTTCAAGGAGCCCCACAGCCCTGAAGCCAAGAAGATGTTTGAAGAAATGGTGAACAAACTCCAGGTAAAGGGTCCCAGTCCCAGGCAACACAAATATCACCAGATCCACGGCAAGGATTTGAGATGTTTCCCCCTCTCCCTCACCCCGTTTCCCTCCCATGGCAGGGATTTGAGTTGTTCCCTCCTCTCCCTTCCTTGCCTGGTGTCCTTCCTACAGCAAGGATTTGAGGTGTTCCCTCCTCTCCCTCACCCATGTCCTTCCCATGGCAGGGATTTGAGATGTTCCCCTTTCTTCCTCCCTCGTCCTGTGTCCTTCCCGTGGCAGGGATTCCCCTTTCTCTCCTTTTCCCCGTGTCCTTCCCCTGGCAGGGATTCTCCTCTCCCTCCCTTTCCTCCTGTCCTTCCCCTGGCAGGGATTTGAGATGTTTTTCCCTCTCCCTCCCTCACCCCATGTCCTTCTTTTAGCAGGGATTTTCCCCTATTTCCTTCTCTTTCCCCGTGTCCTTCCCTGAGCAAGGATTTGAGATTCTCCCACCTCTCTCTATCCCTGTGTCCTTCCCATGGCAGGGATTCCCCTTTCCCTGCCTTTGTATCCTTCCCATGGCAGGGATTTGAGATATTCCCACCTCTCCCTCCCTCCCCACTGGGAACAGCGGGAATGCTAAACCCAGCCCCCTCCCCAAACCTCACTCCCTGCTCCTCTTGCAGGCCCTGAGGAAAAGACCCGGCTTCTCCAAGATTTTACACATCAAAGTGGAGGGAGGCTGTTAGACCTTCAGGGAAGCACAAAGCACATCCCCTCCTGTGCCGGGAGCGAAACCAAACCCAGCGCCCGCCGCTCCCCCCGCGGCCGCAGCCGGAGCGCGGATCCGCCGGCTCCTGCACCAGGAAAAAACCCCAAACTCTTGCAGGCCTTAGTGACTGGCGGCCGGAGCTCATCCCAGGGCCGGCTCGCGGGCGAGAAGGTGCTACTTCAGGACGTGGTTTTTTTTTTTAGTTTTTTTTTTTGGCTGCCCCCAGGAGCCAGGGCAGCGCTCCTTGCCGGGAGGGGAGATGGCTCGGAACCCCCGCGGCCGCTCATTGCCAAGGATCCGCCTTTGGGGGATGTCTTTTCCCTTCGGACTCTTGTTTCTTGGAGGGTTTGTTTATTTTATTTTATTTCTTTTGCCTGTTCGAGGATCTCCCGGCCCCACCCCACCGGCTCCTCGCGGCGCTGCTGCGTCCCCGTCCTCTCCGTGGGGTGGGAAGGGGCTGTTCCTCCTGAGGGAGCGATTCCCGGAGTTGCTGCGGGGTCTCCGTTTCCTTTGTTTGACAGAGGGGCTCCCAAACCTGGGGGAACGCTGCCCAGAGAGCAGCAGCCACCACAGCACAAACCCGGGGAGGGGGGGCAGAGCTGCATCCCGGGGGGCTGCAGGAGCCAGAGGACACCAGGAGAGATGGATGCTCTTCCAGAGGTCTCCAAGCCTCGCTTCTTCTCCCACCGAAACCTTCCTGCCAAGGCAATAAACCATCTCCAAAATCCTCGTCCACCAGGAAACACGGGTCAGGCTCCGGTCCCCACCACCCAGCACCCGTTCAGGCTCCATCCGGAGCGAGCTGTCCCATGTGGAGAGAAAGGACTGGAGTGGGACACCCGTGTTTGCCATCTCATCGCCTTCCCGAGCAGCCTGGAGGAGGAACCCTGGGCAAACTACCCTGAAATCCAAAGCTGCTGCTGAGAGCACCACCCCACAGCCCTGGCTGGCCCCTCCTCCGTGGCCACGGCTGGTTTTTTAACTCCGCTTTTTTTCCTTCCTGGGTGTCTCCAAGGAGGTCATCATCCCCAAAATACCCTTTTTCCACGGGGGGAAAAAGGCTTTGGAAAGGCATCCAGCGGGGCCAGGCATCTCCATGTTCCACCCCGGGGAGAAGGGACCAGGAGGTGCCCGTGGAATTGGGGACACCCATCACAGCACTGCCAGCAGTGGGGACGCACCGGCCTTAACCACAGCCCCTGGTCATCCCAATCCCCACCCAGGTGCCCTTGGATTGGGCTGAGCCAAGAGAATCCCACTGGGAAAAGCAGATTTGGGGGTTTTTTCTCTGATTTGGACCAGTGTTGGAGGTTTTTGATGCCTGTTGGCCAGCGTGGCTGTGAGGAGAGAGCCTTTCCCAGAGCACCTCCCCTTCCCAGCCCTCCCAGGGCGAGGGGCTGACAGGGAACATCCCTCCAGGAGGGAGGAGGCTGCAGATCCATCTGGGACCACATTCCTTTGTCCATGGCAGAGCTCAACCGGGGCTGCCAGCATGACAACAATCCATGGGGATCCTGAGAGAAAATAACACCAATCCCAAATCGCTGAAGCTGGTGGGGGGCTGGAGGAACCTCCTGGATCTCCAACCCCACCTCAGGAGAGCCTTCATCCACTCTTCATCCCATCCACGCTGTCTCCTGAAACAGGGTAAGGGATTTTTGGCCATAACCCCCCTTTGAAGCACCTCTGCTCCCCCTCCCACTGCAGCTTTTCCAGGAGAAGGCTGTTCCCTGTCTGCACAAAATGTGGGAGAGCCCCCCCCCAAAAAAAAACACCCGCGAGAAACTCCCGTGTCCCACGATATCCCCACGGATGAGCTCCCCGGCACCGGGAGCAGCTCCCTGCAGTGCCCACCGTGGCTTTACCTCTACCTGGGGAAGACTGGGACACAAATTCCAGGGGCAAGAGGAGCAAGGGATGCCCCGACCAGCAAAAAAAACAAAACACCACCCAGCAAAGCTACAACCCCTCCGGGGAACATCCAGCCCTTATCCCGGGAATGTGTCCCAAGGGAGCTGTCAGAGACTTGGGAAATTTCCTTAAAACAAACAAACAAACAAACAAACAAACAAAGTAAGTATTTATTTCTATAAAGAAGGAAAAGAAAAAAAAACAAAACACACAAAGATTTTAAAGGAAAATTATATACTCAGCATGTTTATACACTCTATGCTTAAAGACTATCGTGGTGGAGAGTCGTGTCTGAAGACTGAGGGCGGCTGCTCCGGGTTTGCTCCGGGTTTTTGTGACCCTCTCCCGGCCCCTCCAGGCTGTTGGGAAGGCAAAGGCAATGGAAAAAAGGGGGAGATGTTGAGGATTCGTGGAGAAACCTTCTGTGCTCGCCAGTGGTGTGTCAATGGCCGTGTCTGTAGTGGTGTCGGGGCCACCAGGGTTTGGAATTCACGGCAGGACAACCCCCGCTGGAATTTGGTGCTTCGAAGTGTCACCGAGAGCAGAACCAAACCATCGGCCTCCCCTCGGGGCATTCCCGAAAAATCCAACTCGGCAAAGCCACGTTTCCACAGAAATCCTCTGATGACACAAGGCCTTGAGCAGGTTCAAGGATTAGAAGATGGGAAGTGGGGGGGTTCTCCCACTTTCCTTGGGCTGGAATGGATCCCTCTCCCTCCTCATCTTGGGATGAAGGGTGGATGGCACAAGGACACAGGTGGTGATGAGGGCCCTGTGTCTCCCAGCCCTCCTGGTGGCTCCTAATTGCCCAGCTTGTTAACGAGCTCATTAACAGCTCTGTGTTTTCTTCCACTGAAATGTCACATTGATCCTTTCCCTGCTGCTTTCCCTCCCCATCCTGCCGTTTTTCCCCTTTCCCAAACCCCCATCCCTACGGGATGCTCGTGGCCGTGGGATTCACCGCCCGGCTCACGGAGTTTCAACCCCATTTCCTCTGGAAATGATGGAGACACAACAGAAATACCAAATTCCCTGGGAAAAGCCTTGAATCAGGCAGTGTATCCAGGACTTCAGCCCCATTCCAGATCCTAGAGGAGCCCCAGAGGAGCTCTGCGATGACAATCCCCAGCAAAATCCATGGATCCGGGGTGAGAATTGGGGATCACAGTGATGGCCAGAGCTGGCAGGGGCTGGATGGGTGGTGCTTCCAGACCTGGCTCCTGCAGGACCAGTTCTGGGGAGATTTATTCCTTTTCTAAGGAGTTTTCCCAAAGTTTCCCCGTGGCTGACATTCCCAGCATTCCCCTTCCCTTGAATTTGGGTGCTGGTCAGGGATTTCAAGAGGAACAACATCACCAAAGCCAGCTCAGGGGCCAAGTTTATCCCAAATCCATGCTTTTCTTGGTTGGGTTTTGCTTGCTATCCACCCATCCGAGCCCCCAGGAGCTGGGAATGCTCCAGGGACCAGCTGCCTCCTCCTGCCTTATCCCTGTGCCCCCAGTTTGGGAGATCTGGGATGGCAGGGCTCGATGGGAATTCCCAGGTTGGTTCTGTCCCAAGGAGGATTTTAATCTTTATCCCGCTTTTTTATGCCACGTGTCCTGGTCCCAGCTGCCACAGCTTGCTTGGATCCTCCAAAACACTCTGAATTTAGGGAAAACAGAACCAAAAAAACCCAAAAAACAAAAACCAGGAAAACTGTTGCTAAAGGCTCCTAAAGTGGTTCACAAACGTTTTCTCCCAGCCCTTAGAGGAGCCCCTCCTGAGAGCTGGTGCATCACCTCAGCCTCTCGTTTTGGGAGAGGGGGGAAAACTGCAGGTCAGGATGGAGCAGAAGCATTTGGGAAGTGGGAAAATGCTTTAAAGAGGGGGGAAAAATAAAAAGCAGGGAGTAAGCAGGGAGATTTTAGGAACCGGAGATGGTTTGTTGGAAGGTGGTGATGGACCTTCCTCACCCGTGGGAGGCGAAATAATCCCCTCTCAGTGGAGGGTGGGAGAACAGAGGAAAAGCTGCTGCAGCAGCGAGGAGAGGAGGAAAAGCTGCCCGAGAGCAGGGGATAAAAAAAAATGGGATTTTTCTGATCCAGCCTCGGGATTGAGCCCCGTGGAGGGGGCAACGAGGCAGGTTGGGGCCGGGGACAAGTGGGTGCAATGGTGTGGGGTGGCTTTTGCTTCGAGATAATCAGAGGAGATAATCAGAGCAGGGAAAACGAGAGACCTGCAAATACAGGAACTGGGATCCTTTCCCTGGAGAGCCCTCGGTCTGCTCCGCCAGCGGATTCCGAGGGGCCCTGTACAGCGACCTCCCCCCTCCCCAAAGGTAGCCAGTTGCCTCCCAAGTTATTTTTTTAACTCTATATAAAAGTTTAGGTCTATTTTAGTCTTTTCGCAGCGATGTGCCAGTGTCTGGAGAACCAAACAGCCCCTTTTTATTTCTCTCCACCCCCTCGTCCCCCTCATCCCCGTGGTCCCTTTGATGCTGAAGTGGGTCCTGGGTGTGAATCCACCGGAGAGGATGTTGTCCTGGAGGAGGGAGGGGGGAGCGGTGGGATCAGGGTGCAGGTTCCAGGTGGGTTTGGTGGGAAGCAGGGTCCGACTCCGGCCAGGAGACCGTGTTTTTAGCACTTTGGTTGGAACTATCACCTGTAGACGCACTTTGATGTTGTTGCTTTGAAACTTTGGCGAGTGTAAACAATGTGTATTTAAGGAATTAACAAAAACAAAACAAAAAAAACCAACAAAAAAAAAAATCCCAATTCCCTCTCCACTCCCCCCCCCCAAAAAAAAAAAAAAAAAAAAAGTGTGTAAAGAGCTATTTTATGATTCAGTGTTGAATAAAGACTCTGGAGATTGAGGTGAGGTTTTCACTCTCCCCGGGGCCACACCAAAGCCAGACCAGCAGCAAACCAGTGAGACCAGTTGCTGTTTGGGGCTTACTGGGAGTATCCTCACACCTCCCTCTCCCTGCAGGTCCATGATCTCCTTTGGTCCAGCTCCACGGGGCACCAGGACAAAGTGGGATACTGGGGGAGCACTGGGAGGGTGGGAAAACACTGGCACAGCTTTCCCAGAGAGGCTGTGGCTGCTCCATCCCTGGGAATGTCCCAGAGCATGTTGGACAGGGCTTGGAGCAACCTGTGGAACGTGTCCCTGCCCATGGAATGAGATGGTCTTTAAGGCCCCTTCCAACCCAAACCATCCTGTGATTCTATGAAATTTCTTCCCTTGCCCCCCCTTAACACTTCCAACCCACCAGATCCAAGTCTCCCTGTACTCCCCCAAGAGGATTTTCCTGCCAGTCGCTCCAAACACCTGGATCCATCCCTGAAGCACCCACACATTCCCTCCCCACAGCCCCAGAGCTGTCACCTCCCTGAACCTCCCTCCACAAAGCCAAGGGCAAGATGTAAATGGCAAAAGCCAATAAAATCGTCACTGAGCGACATCAGAGAGCTCCAAGAGAAAGAATCCACCCTGGAAACACTCCTGGGACGTGCTCAGAGTCTGTCCTGCTTCGCAACGGGGCAAAAACCACTGTGAGAGGTTTATTTTTTAACTCCAAACACGATCCACCACCGAGCGGAACAGAGCAGGGAACAGACGACAGCCCGGTTTGCCACCGAGACAAACTCATCCTTTTATTGTGTTGGGGGCCGGGCCCAAGCCCCTCCCCAGCAGGCAGGATGATAAACCAGTATAAATAGGAGCAGAGCCCATCCTCGCCGCACCGGGAGAGGGAAGGCATTCCCGAGCGGAACGCCGAGGCGAGCCCGAGGGGATCAGTGCTGTGTGGGAAACGTTCGGGGCAGGGCAGCCCACAGGGGGCTGTGGCTGCCCCGGCCAAGACGTGACTCTAATTAACACAGCCCGAAGCTGACCATCTGCCGACGAGCCCGTTAATTAACGCGGGGATTCATCGCGGGAGTCGCCGCCGTCGCGGCAGGGAGAGAGGGAGGGGTCTCAGTGGTTGTGGGGGCGGCCCCGGCCCCGGCCGCGGCCTCCGGGAGCGGCATCCACGGTGGAGCGGGGGTTCTTGATGGTCTCGTCCACGGACACGATGAGACAGGCGGCCTCGGAGGCGGCGGTGAGCGCGTTGATGCGCACCACGGCCGGCTCCCACACGCACGCCTCGAAGTTGTCCGCGATGTCCTCGTTGTTCACGTCCACCCCGTACCACATCCCGCCCTGAGGGGACACGACAGGTCGGGTCAGCACGGGGGCTTTGGGATGGAAGGAAAGGCAGGCAAAGGGGCAGGGAGAGAGGCAGAAGGTGGGACTCGCCGTGGGAAAGGAGGATGGTTGAGGGGAGCACAAATCCCAGCCACCACGTCCCTGGTTTTGGTGGTGCCTGTGGCAATGCCTGTGCCCAGTCTCTGTTGGGATTCTCCACAGAGCTCTCTCTGCACTCCCCTTTCATTAGGGTTCCTCTGGTGAACAGCACCTGGTGTCGTCCTTCAGTTAAACAGAATTCCCAGGACTCCCTGCAAACTCCAGGTTTTGACTCACGCACTCCAAGACCCGAACGCTCCCTCTGGATTCTGACTACCTGAATGCAGGAGCTGCTGGCTCAACGTGTTCCCACAGTGCCAGCAATGCCTCATAAAACAGGAGGCTCGTTCCATTTTAGAGTCACAGAATCAGGTTGGGAAAGACCTCTGAGATCAGAGTCCAACCTAAGACCCAACACCACCGTGTCAACCAGACCACGGCACCGAGTGCCACATCCCCACCGTGCCAACTACACCATCCACACCCAGGCTTTCCTTGAGCAGGGATGGTGACTCCACCACCATCCTGGAGAGCCCATTCCATGAAGCTCTAAAGCCTCCCGGGACTGATTCCCACTCCACTGCTGCCTCACTCCCCAGCCCACAGCCCCAGGTTTTGCACCCCCTCATTTCAGGGCATTCCTGCTAATCCCACCATCAGGAGCAGGATGGACCGTGATGGGAGTCACCAAAGCCAAGGGGCAACTTCCAGACACCGGGATTAGGATTCCCACAATATCAGCAATTGGGACCTCCAGCTTGCAGCTCCTCAGCCAACTTCTACTGATTCCTTTACTGTCTAACACAGCAGCTCCCTCCTGACAAATGATGCACTTCCAAGGAGCAAACCGGGACTCCCAGCTCTGGGAGTCACCCAACAGCTGGGATCAAAGGGAAAACAGATCCTTTCCTTTTATAGCAACGTGTGCCGAGCCCACACTCGATCTGGGAACAAACACAGCGTTTAATCAAAGAGGACAAGTCTAACACGGGCTCAGCTCAGTTACCCCAGATCCGACAGCTCCAGGAGGAAAACATCAGGGAGAAGGGAATGCCACCCACCCCTGGCTGTGCCCTGGGCTCCCAGGTGGCCCTACCTGCGCGTGCTTGGCTCGGAGCTTGTTCAGGATGTTGGTGGCATCAAAGCCGGCGTTGTCACAGAGCTGGCGGGGAATGATCTCGAGGGCCTTGGCGTAAGCGCCGATCAGCAGCTGCTGCTTCCCTGGAATGGTCCTGGAATAGTCCCGGAGGTACTTGGAAAGCTCCATCTCTATCGCGCCACCGCCGGCGACAACCGAGTCGTTCTGAAGGGAAAAGGGAAACACCCTCATTCCAAGCAGGGGGAGAGCGGGAAAGGCTCCGTGTCAGGGCAATGCCAGCCCGTGGGAATCCACAGTCCAGCCTGCTGCCAGCCCTGGGATTGCCTGGCAGCACTGCTGGGAGCTTCAGGAACACGCCAAGAACCTCCAGGGGCAGCTCCCAGCAGCTCATCCCAGCTGTGCATGGGATAAAAGGGGATTTCTGGGAGGGATGGCAGCTCACAGCCCACCCGGGCCAGGAAACCCACTTCCCTCACTTCCATAAAGCTCCCAAAGCTAAAGATACTGGCAGCAGCACCTTGGAGCCAAGTTCTGCTGTTTTTTCAGGCGAGAGATCAGGATCTTGTTTCTAAAACGCAACAGTTCCCAAAACCTTGATGTGCTTCTTCCCAGCCCCTCAGGACATAGAGCATTCAAAGCTGTTTTTAACCAGAAACTGTATTAGGTGTAACCCAGAAACACCCACAGCTTGGCAGCATCCTCAGGACACATCCAGAGAGGCCCTGGACTTCTCTTGGTGCTCCCAACTTGCCTTCAAAGGCAGGGGCCTGTCACCCCCTCAGATTGGTCACTAAAAGAGGGAACAAGTGGATTTACAGGCATGGACACACACACGACATTAATCCTGTCCAAAGCTCCTCAAGATCCACCCAGCACACCCAGGATTGTGCTCCTTCAGGATGGGGGTGGAGCAACCACAAGTTACAGCTGTGCAGAAAGGAAAGGAAAACCTGGAGAGCACTTGGAAACGCTGCCAAAGCAGCGCTGAGTTGGCCAAGGAACGGCACTTGAGTTAATCAACTGGATGCTCCTCACTCCAGGTCTCTCCAGAGACCTCAGCCAACCTCTGGCGTGTGAGAAGGTTCCCAGAAGGAGTTGGGAAGGCTGTGCCAAGTCCGAGGAGCAGCCCAGCAGGGAGGCAGCTCCCCTGGGGCTCACCTTGATGGCCCTCCTGACGATCATGATGGCATCGTGCAGGGACCGCTCCGTCTCCTCCATGAACTGCTCCGCTCCCCCCCGCAGGATTATCGTGCAGGTCTTGGCCTTGGGGCAGCCTGTGAAGAAGTTGTACCTGCCAAAGGCACAGGGCAAGAAGGGTTAGGGCATGGAGGAGTGGTGGTGCTGCTGCTGGAAAGGATCCACAGCAACAATCAGGGATCCTGGACAGGCCAGATCCGTGACCGAAGCCGTGTCACCCTCACAGCGCCCCATCGGATCTTGGGCATGGAAGGAGCAGAGCTGAGCAATAAACACAGGGAATCCAGGAAAATCCACTCTCTTCCTGTTGCCAGGGATTTGCTGAACTGGTGCTCCAACCTTCACCTGGCAGGAGTCAGCAGCCAGCTCCAAACAGGAATTCTCCTCCAGCAACAGGAAGGACCCCAGTGTACTGTCCCCAACTTCACCTGCCACTGAAGTGGCACTATGGAATATCAGATAAATGCCACCATCAACCCCCAAATGTGCTGCTTTTCCATTACAAATGAAGCAACACCACTGTGCTTTCTACAAGACACTGCAGAATAAATACATATATTTTAAAAGCATAAAAAAGGGGTAAGATTAGAGGAAAGCTCAACCTCAAAAAGCAGCTTTTGTATACAACAAAATAATTGGGTTTTAACAACCTTGTTTTCACAGGAACACCTTGAATGATGCTCCAACCTGCCAGTGCTTTGACCCAAACTGCTTTTAGAGGGCTGGCAATAAATACACACAATAAATACAGCTGGTGTATTTACCTCTCTCCCCCAATCTGAGTCTCCTCAAAGAGTTCACACCGGCCCAGAACATCATCTGTCAGGGCATTGACACTGGTCTGGATGGATCCACCACAGGCCTGCGTGGAACGGAGACAAAGCGAGCAATTACCGACACTGACAATCCAAACTGATTTCCCAGCAGGGTCCCATTCTTTAGGGACAGCCCAGCTGTTTAGCTGATGCAAATCCATCCTGCAGGCCAAAGTCAGGAAAACCCTTTAATTTCCCTGCCATCTCAAAATCCTCGACAGCAAAATAAGATTACGCGGCTTCGAAGCGCTGACTCACGGGCTCCACAGTCCAGGAAATACAGAGCTCAGGGGAAAAAAAAAAAACCACTCATGATGGAACAGGCAAGAACTAGGGAAAATAAACCGCTACTGATGCAATGAGCAGACCTTAATCAGAGAAACAAAAGAGCAGTGCAGATGCAATTAGTGTGTGATTGTTCGTTCCGTCAAGGAACAGCCTTGTCTGTCTATGGCAAGTTTAAATAACAACCACACGGGCAAAAACAACGTGATTTTCATCTTTGCAAGGGAACAGCATGTTCAGGCACAGCCTGCTGCCCTGGTTTGGGAATCCCCAGCCTGGCAGTGCTAAAATGGAATCAAGGAGCTCACCATCATAGTCCGTTTGAGATCCTCCTCCGGGACGCGGCCGGCACAGAACATGTCCCTGTCTGCGAAGTACTGCGTGGCCACGTCCCCGATGGGAAGTTTGGACAGGACAACTTTGGCTCCTGACTTGTGGATTTTGTCTAGTTTGTCATACAGGATGTTCCACTCGGCATCCACGATGGCCTGGTAATCCTGGCAGGGTGGAGAGAGGGACAATCCCGATGGATTGGGAACGTTGCTCTTGCAGCGCCAGCTTTCAACACCCTCCTTCAGCTTAATCCATCCCCCCTTGTCCTGTCCCTCCATCCCTTGTCCCAAGTCCCTCTCCAGGGGCTCTCAGGTCTCCCTGGAGCCTTCTCTTCTCCAGATGAACCCCTCCAGCTCTCCCAGCCTGGCTCCAGAGCAGACACGTCCCAGTCCTGGGAGCATCTCCCACCTCTTATCCCATTGGACAAGCAGCCACCACATCCCACAGGGATGAGGCAGCAGGGCAGGCTCCCCTTTGGCTCTCACCTCCACCGTGTTGACTCTGATTTCAGCGTTGTCCTTCTCAGCTTTGAGCTCCAGCTCCACGTTCAGGAGGGCAATTTTGGGGGACTGGTACTTCTTGGGCTGCATCTCAAACCCAGCGTAGGAGAAGGTCTTCTTGAAGGCAACTCCGGCCACCAGCTGCGAGTCCTTGAAGGCAGGGATTTGTGTCAGGCTCAGCCTCCCAGGGTTCTCTCCACAGGGTTAATAACTCCCACAGGAGACTCCCTGCTTCCAGAGGCCTCATTTACAAAGCCTTCCCAACGCTGTCTCCTTTGATTAACCCACTTTTTAGAGGGAAGAAGCAGCAGGGATTTCTCTGTGCTCACAAAAGCAGCTTCAATCGCTTCCTCTCCACCCCTCAAGACACCACAGCCAAAAATGCTGCACACACAACCTGGAGATCAAGGCGTGGAGCAATCAGTTCTCTCCTTGATCTCTTTCCCATTCCTACCCTTTGAACGTGGATACTTCTAATCCACACTCTGTGCTGGTTCTTTTTGCTCTGGCTTGTTTTTCCAAGCTCCTTCACCACCTGTGGGATTGTTTTGCCAGCAGGACAGCCCTGCCCAACCTGAAGGGATCTCCTTGACTCCATGGCTGGGAGAGAAATCAGGATCTAACTCTCCTACTCCACAGCCAGGACAGGTATTCCAGCTCTAGGGCATAAACCACACATCCCACCCATCCTGCCCACCACTAGATCAGCTCCTTCATGAGGTTTTCCATGCCTTTTTCCCAACCCAGTAATCCTACATACAACCAGGACTTTTAGATACAGAAGTAAAACAACTTCCCATCAAAAAAACAAACAACAACAACAACAACAAAACCCACAAAAAACCCAAACAAACAAACAAAAAAACCACAACAAAAAAAAACCCAAACCAAACCAAACCAAAAAAAAACACAACACACCACCAACAAACAAACAAACAAACCCCAACCCAAACATTTAATTATTTGCAAAAATATAAATGGAATTTAGGATTTATATTAATTTGTATCAGTAATATTTGCTGCAGAAGACACTGAGGTGAGAGTGTATTTGGCTCAAAAACCAGATTCTCTACCTATGGAAAAGAAATCCAGTCCTATTTCCCAAGCTCTTTTCCTCACAACCACACCTTTGTCTTATTTTGGGAACTCCCAAACAGGCATTATCAAGCCAGGCTGCATTTAACCTCGAGCCAAGTGATTCCTGTCCCTCCCATCCCCTTCACGACACGCTCTGACAGAACTTACTTCCAGAGCTCCTCCTTGCACCTTCTTTATTCCAATCATTTTGAGCTGTAACAAGTCATCCAACATCATGACAGCATCGACAACCATCTTGGAGAAGAACTCCTTGCTCTGGGAGATCAGCTTGGAGCTCAGGGCTGTGGCTGCACACTTCTCCAGGAGGCTCCTCTGCTCACTGCAAAGAGGAAAAGCAAGGGCTTGTCACCTGACAGATCTTTTCACAAGCCCAAAAGGCTGTTTGGCTTCATTAATCAGAGAACTGGTTTTGGTTGGAAAAGATCTTTAAGATCATTTAGTCCAGCACTGCCAAGGTCAGCACTGACCCCTGTCCCCAAGTGCCACATCCACAGGGATTTTAAATCCCTCCAGGGATGGGGATCCACCACTGCCCTGGGCAGCTGTGCCAGGGATGGACAACCCCTTCCATGAAGGAATTTTCCCTAATATCCAACTGAAACCTCTTCTGGTGCAATTTAAGGCCATTCCCTCTCCTCCTGTCCCTGTTCCCTGGGAGCAGAGCCCGACCCCCCCCGGCTCCCCCCTCCTGTCAGGGAGTTGCAGAGCCAGAAGGTCCCCCCTGAGCCTCCTTTTCTCCAGGCTGAGCCCCCCCAGCTCCCTCAGCCGCTCCTGCTGCTCCAGCCCCTTCCCAGCTCCATTCCCTTCCCTGCACACGCTCCAGCTCTTGGCATGAGGGGCCCAAACTCCTCTCTGACAGAGCCAAAGATCAGCTCCCTCCTGTCAATGGGGAGAACAAGGCCCACATGCAAATCCCAAAATCCCTTTTAGAACCTGAGCATCAGCCCAGCACTGACCACGTTGACTGGCTTTTAAACACCTAAAAACAGGAAAACAGCAGGTCCTTTCCCTCATCCAAAGGCAGGAAGATGCTTCTAAAACTCTCTAAGGGCAGCACATTCTCTGAGGCATTAACTCAGGTTAATTATGTGTAACAGAGTGGGTGATAAAGAGACACCAGGGAAATGTGGAGCCAACTGCAGGATCTCTCCCTCCAGTCCCTGCTGCCCATGGGAACCACTGTATTTCCCATCCCAGGACAGCATTTGGCTTGGTTTTTTTTTTCAGCATTTTTTCACCATCTGGACAACTCATTTTGCTTCATTTAAGATGGGTTATTCAATTTAAGATGGGTTATTCAATTGTAACACTTCAGATTTACTCCAGGTATTAGCAAGGTCATGTGGACAAGAACTTAAAACATCCAGGAAGAAAATGAACTCCAGTATTCTCACCTCATCTGAAGGGGTCCTTTCCTTACTGCTATGAACTCTCTACCTTCCTCTGTGCAACAGCTAAAAAGGGATCTGATCCTCAGGGAATTGCTGAGATTTAACACTGGCACTGACTGCAGCAGGAGCTGCGAGTCTCCACTGCTGCAAAAAAGAAATCAGGCCACTTATTTTAGTGCCCAGCTCCCTCCCTGTGCACTGGGAAGACACTGCCCTAATTATTCCCTGCAGCCAAGCGAGAGCAAGGCACAGCTCCCAGAGGAGTAGGAAATTCCAAATAATTTGGGAATAACCCCAGTGTGGGGCCGCAGCTGTTCAGTCCGACCTCGAGACCTCACCAAGAGGCACGGGAGAATTCAGGAACACCCTCACACCAACAGCTCAGCTGAAGCCCAAGGAACACAACCAGGTCATCTCCATGGAAAACTTACTCTTTATCTTCCTTCTTCACGGAAACAGCGATGTCTTTGATCTTGTTCACAGCCTGCCAAGACACGGGGCAACAGCTGGATTAATGATTTATGCTCCTGAACTCATCAGATCTCCAAGTTTTTTCTCTGACTTTTTAAGTTAATCTTTTATTCCCTGCTTCAACATCACTGAAGTTTCAAGGATTGAAGCCATTCCACCCCTTCCAGCACAGAAATTCAAGGAATGCAGCAATTTAAGGGGAGTGGGAAGAGCCTGCTCCGCTGTTTTCAGTGGAGATCTGGGAAAACACAGGGCTTTTGAGGGACTGCACCTGCAAAAACTCAGCTTAATGGGACCAAGAGCTTGATTAGATGCAAGGTTTACTAAAGAGCAGCAGAGATCAGGAGTTTACTCATTTTTCCTTGGAAAAAAAACACAAAGGGAGAGACCGCACCCCAGAGGGAGCGACTGGTAACGACAGCTCCCTGACAGCAGAAAGGCAGCTCACGTTGGCAGGAAGACACCAGGAGATCACCAGTGACACTCCCCACGCCCTGGAAGTGTGGCATTATCCCCCTCTGGCACAGAACTCCCGTCCCCAGGCGCTCCCAAAGGCTCACCAGCTGCGTGGCCGTGCGGAAGGCACGGATGATGATCTGGGGGTGCAGCCCTTCCTCCACGTAGGGCTTCACCTGCTTCAGGAACTCGGCTGCCAGCAGAGTCACCGACGTGGTGCCATCACCAACCTGCAAGGAGGGGGGACAGTGTCACCCACAGGCTGTGACAGCACCTGCAGAACCACAGAGGGCTTCCAGGGAAAGCAGATTTCAGGGTTATCTCTCCCCATGGATTTGTGGGCGGATTCCTCGGTGATTTGTGGAATCATGGAATGGTTTGGGTTGGAAAGAGCCTTAAGGGTCATCCAGTTCCACCCCCTTTCCACTAGCCCAGGTTGCTCCAAGGCCCCTCCAGCCTTGGACACTTCCAGGGATCCAGGGGCAGCCACAGCTTCTCTGCCCAACCTGGGCCAGGGCCTCCCCATCTTCACAGACAGGAATTCCTTCCCACCCAAACTCCCCTCCATCAGCTTAACAGCAGAACAGCTCAAAGCACTGGGAAGTCATCACAAAAGAGAGGGATCAGTAAAGAAACCAGGACAAACCCCAGCACCCCATGAGCAATCCCCAAAGCCCACGGGTTCCCATCCCACCTCTGCATCCTGGGATTTGGCGATGTCCACCAAGGTCTTGGCGGCCGGATGGACGACGTCGAGGAGCTTCAGGATGGTGGCACCATCGTTGGAGATCGTGGCTTTGCCTGGGATTGATGGAGAAAAGGAAGCCAAGCTTCACCACCAGGATAAAGCCCTCAGCCCTGTGTCTCAGGGGGTCTCAGCAGGTTCCTCTGTTCCATCTCCATAATGTCTCCTCGGGTTCAGAGCGCAAAACAACTCTCCACACCAATTAAGAGGGGCTTAAATTTCCCTCTTACTTCTCAAGAGACTCCCCAGACAGATAAAAACATATTCTGGTCTGACACTCACATGGAAAAATAGTCTAGAAATCATACAAGCTGTAAGATAAATTTAAATCCAATTATACCTTTTAATTAAGTTATTGCACTCCCTATTTGTAAAAACTATTTAAAGACAACACTAAGACTTTCTACCCTGCCCTCTGAGTAAGCAAAAATAACACACAATAATTAGTTTGGTGACTTCATACTGTTCCTCTCAGAGCATGGATGAGGCTCACCCCTAAACCACACTCCAAAAAAAGATTAAAGAGGAGGCTCAGGGGAGACCTCATCACTCTCTACAACTCCCTGACAGGAGATTGTAGCCAGGTGGGGGTTGGTCTCTTCTCCCAGGCAACTATCAATAAGACTAGAGGGCTCAGTCTCAAGCTCTGCCAGGGGAGGTTTAGGTCAGATTAGGGAGAAATTCTTTACAAAGAGGGTGATCAGGCATTGGAATGGGCTGCCCAGGGAGGTGGGGGTGGATTCTCCGTCCCTGGAGGTGCTTAAGGTGAGACTGGATGTGGCATCAGTGCCACAGTCTGGTAACTGTGGTGGTATTGGATCAAGGGTTGGACTTGATGATCTCAGAGGTCTCCCTTCCAACCCATGTGATTCCAGGATTCCGTGACTGTACGATCCTTACCCCGGTCATCCACGATGAGCTTGTCCATGCCGCGCGGCCCCAGCGTGGTGCGCACGGCCTCGGCGATCACCTGGCAGGCATTGATGTTGCTGACCAGCTGGGGGATTCCCTGGGAGGTGTCCGTGCCCTCCTTCAGCAGGATAACCGGTGTTGGCTGCGGAGAGAACCCGCGGCAGAGCCGTCACTCCCGTCCCAAACCACCCGGAGCGAACTCCTCGCGCAGCCCGCGGCTCACACAGGACCAGGAGCAAACCCTGCAGACTCCCTGGAGTTCAGTTCCCCTGCTTCCCACCTCCCACTGTGCTGGGAATTCACCCAACTGCTTCCACTCTGGGACTGCAGAGGAACTGTCCCAAAAATAAGCGGGGTTTTTTTGGTGGTGTTTTGCTCAGTGAGGTTCTGGTCCTGATGCTGGAGTCGGAGAAGACAGAACGTGGAATTATTACTGAGACAGTGAGGAACTGAACAAATTTGGGTGGTGGAAAGGTGTTCACCTGGAGTAGAGAAGGCTCCAGGGACACCTGAGAGCCCCTTGCAGGGCTGAAGGGGCTCCAGGAGAGCTGGAGAGGGACTGAGGACAAGGCATGGAGGGACAGGACATAGGGAACGGCTTCCCACTGCCAGAGGGCAGGGATAGATGGATATTGGGAAGGAATTCCTGGCTATGAAGGTGGGGAGGCCCTGGCACAGTTGGGCAGAGAAGCTGTGGCTGCCCCTGGATCCCTGGAAGTGTCCAAGGCCAGGCTGGATGGGGCTTGGGGCAACCTGGGATAGTGGAAGATGTCCCTGCTTGGAATAGATGAGTCTTTAAGGTCCCTTGCAATCCAAACTATTCCATGAGCGATGCAGCTGTCTCACAGACAGAGGCCAGACAAAGCCTGAACACAGCCAAAATTTGGGAGGCAACAGTTTGGAACGGAGAGGAAAATTAAACCATGGCTGTGGCAAGAACAAGAAACACAAGGTGCTACTGGAGAGGGATCTCATCAATCCACATAAATATCTCCAAGGGCTGTCAGAGGATGGTCCCAGACTCGTTTTGGTGGTGCCCAGCAACAGAACACAAACTAAAACACACCAAGTTCCGGCTCAACATGAAGAAGAACTTCTTTCCCTGGAGGGGGCAGAGCCCTGGAACAGCTGCCCAGGGAGGGCGTGGAATCTCCCCCTCTGGAGACATCCCAGACCCACCCGGACGAGTTCCTGCGTCACCTGCCCCAGGTGACCCTGCCCGGGCAGGGGGGTCGGACTGGGGGACTTCCAGAGGCCCCTTCCAACCCTATTCCGCAACCCGAAATCCTGGGAAGGCTTTGTGGACGGAAACGCGCGGAGCTCTCAATGGAATAAAGGGAACCCTTTATCCCGGGGGGGAACGAGCGCAGAGGCACAAAAACCGGAGGGACCCGGGGCCGGAGCGGAGGGGACGGCGCGGGATGGAGCAGCGGGATCAGCCCGGGAAGCGCCGCCGTCCTGCCCCATCCCATCCCACCCTATCCCACCCTATCCCACCCCATCCATCCCATCCCATCCCGGGTACCCCAGGCCCAAACCGCCGCTCCCCATCGCGCCGCAGCCGCTCGGGGCGCGTTCCCCGGAGGGCAGCGGTGGCCCCGCGGGGTCGTTCCCGGCGAGAATTCGGGCGGATGGCCCTGGATGGCCCCGGACGGCCCGGGGTGCCCACTCACCATCATCGCGGCGGCCCCACAGTGCCCCGCGCGCCACCAGAACCTTCCCCGGGGCGGGGCCGCGCACGGATCACTATTTGGCACCGGGGAGGGGGGGGCAGCGCGCCGTGACAAAACTGGTAGCTCACTATTTAGCAGCGCGGCGCCGCGGTGACAGCGGGTGATGGACGGCCGCGTGGGCCAATAGGAGCGAGGCGAGAAGGGCGCTGGGCCAATGGCGGGCGCGGGGCGCGGCGGTGGGCGGGGCGCGGCGCAGCCATGCTGGCCTGGCTGTGGCTCTGGCTCTGCGGCTGCTGCGGGACGGCCCGCGGTGAGTGAGGGGGGCTCGGCACGGGCCCCGCACGGCACCGAACCCCCCCCGGACCCCGCGATCCCGCGGTGCTTCCGCTCCCCGCATCCCCGGCCCCGGTGCGATTTCCCCTCCTGTTCCCGTGGAGGGATGCGGGGGCATTTCCCTGCTCGCTGCGCCCCGACCGAATTGCGTTTGTCCTCCTGCATCCCGGTCTGGGTGCATTTCCCCTCCTGCATCCCGGTCTGGGTGCATTCCCCTCCTGCATCCCGGTCTGGGTGCATTTCCCCTCCTGCATCCCGGTCTGGGTGCATTTCCCCTCCTGCATCCCGGTCTGGGTGCATTTCCCCTCCTGTATCTCAATCCAGCTACGTTTCCCCTCCTGTATCTCAATCCGGGTGCATTTCCCTCGGTGCACCCTGACCTAATTGCTTTTCCCCGTCCAGCACGCCAATCCAGCTGCGTTCCCCCCTTGGTGCACCCCGAGCCCGTTGCATTTCCCCTCCTGAATCCCAATCCAGGTGCACGTCCCTTCACTGCATCCTGACCCCGTTGCATTTCCCCTCCGTGCCCTGTGATGTGGGTGGATTTCCCACCACTGCATCCCAGTTCCACGGCGTTTCCGCTCCTGCACCCCAATCCAAGTGAATTTCCCCTCTGTTCAGCTCAATCCTTATCCCCTCCGTGGTCCATTTGAATTTTCCTCTTCCCCTTGTGCACCCCAATCCACCCCAATCCCAGTGCCTCTCCCCTCCATCCCTTTTCAGCTCCTGGGAACTGTTGTATCTCCCCTTGGAGCATCCCAAAACCTCCCCCGTGGTTCAGGAGTGATAACTGAGATTTCTCCCATTTTTTTCAGGGATTTTCCCTATGGTTTTCCCTGCCTCTCACACCTCTCCCTTCACCTCCAGGTCTGCGCATCCATGAATACTTGTACTTCCAAGTGCTGAGTCCCGGGGACATCCGTTACATCTTCACTGCCACTCCAGCCAAGGATTTTGGTGGCGTGTTTGTAAGTATTTAAAACTAAATTTGTGGCTCTGGGTCCCTCCATCCCAATATTTCTCCTTTGTGGGGCTCAGTGATTTGGATTTTTGATAAAAACGGAGCTAATTGCTCTTCCATGAGCATCCTTGGCCTCAGCAGGTTTCCAGAGGCAGGGATTGGGCTGGCTCTGCAGGACTTGGAATGGGGCACCTGGAAGCTTAAAATCTCCCTATATGAGTAGGATATGGGACATAGAGGGGCTGGAGCTTGTCCAGGGAAGGAAATGGAGCTGGGAAAGGGACTGGAGCAGCTGAGGGAGCTGGGGGGGCTCAGCCTGGAGAAAAGGAGGCTCAGGGGGGACCTTCTGGCTCTGCAAATCCCTGACAGGAGGGGGGAGCTGGGGATGTTGGGCTCTGCTCCCAGATAACAAGAGGAAAAATGACCTCAAGTTTTGCCAGGGAAGTTCAGGTTGGATATTGGGAAAATTCCTTCCTGGAAAGGGTTGTCCATCCCTGGCACAGCTGCCCAGGGCAGTGGTGGAGTCCCCATCCCTGGAGGGATTTAAAATCCCTGTGGATGTGGCACTTGGGGACAGGGGTCAGTGGTGGCCTTGGCAGTGCTGGGCAGTGCAGGGCCAGCTGGAGAAGGGCTTGGAATGGGAAGCAGCTCCGATGCCTCATCCCTGCCTGTTTCCCTCCTGAAGAACACAAGGTACGACCAGATCCACCTGGTGCCGGCGGATCCCCCGGAGGCCTGTGGAGAGCTGAACAATGGGGTCTTCATCCAGGACCAGATCGCCCTGGTGGAGAGGGGGTAGGTCTGGCATCACAGGGGGCTTGGGGGGACTCTTGGGCAGGAGGGGAGATGCTCATGGAACTGAGGGTGAGATTGCCATGGACACATCTCCCCATCACCTCCAGCTTCTTCTCCATGTGGGTGAATGAGGAAAACACAAGGGTGTTCCTACCCCAAAGCATTTCATCTTGTGTCTTTTAGCCTGTGCTAGGGTGGGAAAAAAACCATCTGGGTTCACATTGAAAGAGGTTTTAGATGGGATATTGGGAAGAAATTCCTTCCTGTGAGGGTGGGGAGGCCCTGGCCCTAGTTGGGCAGAGAAGCTGTGGCTGCCCCTGGATCCCTGGAAGTGTCCAAGGCCAGGCTGGACGGGGCCTGGAGCAACCTGGGCTAGTGGAAGGTGTCCCTGCCCATGGCAGGGTGGTTGGAACTGTAAAATCTTCCAAGTCCCTTCCAACCCAAACCATTCCATGATTGTATGATTCTATTTTATTTTTCCTTAGGAGTGTGGGTGGCTCGTGCCTAAAATAGAGACTCGGAGGAGCGCAGTTTGGGCGAGGCGCGGGATCAGGGAGACAACCCCTGGGCTGGGTGTCTCCAGGCACGGCCCTGGCACTTCCAGGCTTTGCACCTACCTGTGGGCACCAACCTTTTTGTCCCTCTGTGCCCCAGGGGCTGCTCGTTCCTGTCCAAGACCCGAGTGATCCAGGAGCACGGCGGGCGGGCCGTGATCATCGCCGACAACGCCTACGACAACGACAGCTTCTACATCGAGATGGTGCAGGACAGCTCCCGGCGCACAGCCGACATTCCTGCGCTCTTCCTGCTGGGCAGGGACGGGTGGGTGCCCTGGCACATCTCCCCAAGGGGTGGGACAGCTCATGGGAAGGGCAGAGCCATGCCTTGTCCCCACAGAATGGGGTGCCGGCGATCAGCGTGTCCCTCCTGGGCTTTGCGGGAGAGCTTTGGAGTGGATTCAGTTATGATTAATCCACAGTTGGAGCTTTGTGGCTGAGTTTGAGCTGTTACGGTTCGAGTTGTGGTTTATGCTCAAGGCTGGGCTTCAACTCTCCCAAATCCAGCGGCTCTGGAACACCTGTCACCTCTTTATCCTTCCCAGGTACATGATCAGGCGCTCCCTGGAGCAGCACGGGCTCCCCTGGGCCGTCATCTCCATCCCCGTCAACGTCACCAGCATCCCCACCTACGAGATGATGCAGCCCCCCTGGACCTTCTGGTAGCAGCAGGAGGCTGTGGTGGATCGTGGACTTCCCAGTGGATCCCAGGATTTTGCCCTAAGCACCAGGTTTGAGGAAGGAGTCCCAACGTGCTCCGGAGATCCCACCGGATTCGGCAACCGGGAGATCTTCCTGCTGGCCAAGTGCCAGGTGGGAATCTTGAGCCTGGCACTGAGCACCCTTTGCTGTGACTTTGTGGGAGGGAGGTGATGGCCCAGAGCAGGCCAGCGCTTCCCAGGAAACATTTTAACTTGTGCTGCTGATTTGGAGGGATGCAGGACTGGCAGGGATGGGAGGGAGAGCTGGTCTGGACCAGCAGGGCTCGCCCCACGTCTGTATATTTTTGTCTGAGCTAATGAAATCTGAATGTTTTAGAGAAAATGAAGTTTCTCGTTTTTTCTTTCAGCAGTCAGAGGATGAAGGGACAAATCTCATCCCCTAATATTTTCCCTAGTCAAATTCCCAAGGTGCCTCCTGCAGCTGGGCCAGTGCTCAGGCCAGACCCCAGCCATGGGGTGAAGCAGCAGCACGGCAGAGCCTCCAGCACTTGTCCCCAGGCTGTGTGTCCCTGGTCACAAATCCAGAGCCCCCACTCCCACAGGTGCCTATTGCCTCATCCCCACACCTGTGTCCCCACAGGACCAGCCCCTGGGTCAGCCACCACCCTCCAGTTTACCAGTACAAACCACAGGGTCCCAGTTCTCACCAGTCTCGGTTTATTACGAACACTGAAGGGGCCGCGGCCCCGGGACGGTTGGGGACAAGCAGCGGGGTCAGGGCTAGCGGTGATGGCAGTGTCAGGGATGTGTCACCCTCAGTCCCACAGTCCATCTGCCACGGACACAGCGACAGGAAAACAGCTCCCCAAAATCCACGAGGAGAGGGAATAACTCTGGAGTGCACCCCCAGCCTGCTGCCTGTCCATCGCTGGGAGCCGTGTTGTCCACAGACAGGGACACTGCAGCACGTGGTGTGGCCTTGTCGCTGGCAGCGTGGGTGACAAGGGGACATCCATGTAGGACCACTCGGTGCCAGGACATCTCTTTGTGGGGCCACTCGGTGCTGGGATGTCTCCATGTGGGAATTTGGGGTGGGGAAGCACACGGCAGCTCCCGCTCAGGCACATCCTCGTCCTGCTGCCGGACAGAGGGAAAACTCCCAATGTCTTTGGGGTTTTGGATGCCACCACATGTCAGCTCTGGGATGGTGTCAGCCTGGCCATTCTCCATCCCCAAATGGTCCTGGAATCACTGCCTGGGGCTGTGCTGTTGGAAGGACGGGCTGAGTCAGGCAGGAGGTGCCTCCAGGAGTGGCTCCGCTCTCCCTCCTGGACTCAGGATCTGAGCCCCACCTAAGGTGTCCCTGTCCCTGCAAAATCCCCTCACTGCTCACCAAGGCATGGAATGGAGGATACAGAAGGACCCCAGCTCTGTAGTGTGTAGACAGTGCTTATATAGACATTAAATAGTTCCCTCGTGCACAAACACACACACACACACACATTCCCTCATCCCTGGGGGGCGGGAAGGACGAGCTCCGCATCCACGGCCGGCACAGACATGGAGCAGCCTTGCAGGTGGCCACAAGGAGGGGCTGGCTGGATCCTGCTCTCTTCCAGCTTCCTCTGCAAGCACCAGCCAGCCCCTCCGGGAAGCGGGATGTGGCAGAGGGACACCAGCTCACAGCTTGTCCTCACAGGGAGGACGGGGACAGCCTGACACGCACACACAGGGACAACACGGGACAAGCGGGAGCAGAACCTGCCTCCGGCTGCCCCGCTCCAGCACCTCCACACGGCCGCCCACCCGACCCCACAACACAACCCTGCTCCTTGGATTAAAGCTGCTGCCTCTGGGAGGAACCCCCAGTCCCTTCCCTTCCCGTCCCTTCCCTGTCCTCTCGCCAGGATCAAACATCGGTCATCTCATCCTCCAGCTCGGCATCGTCCGTCTCTCCCTCGCCCTCCTCCTCCTCGTCCGACGTCACGTCGGCGTCGTCGGCTTGCGCCAGGCACTTGGGACACGAGCAGGTAAACAAGTAGTTCTCCCTGGAAAAATGGGAAAGAAGGAGGAAAAAGACAAATGGTGTTGAGACAGGCACAAGCACATGCTGCTGCTGGGCAGGGGTCGGGAACAGAGCAGCCAGGAAAGAGGCTAAAGATGTTAAATCCAGAGGAGGTTGGGGGTTCCAACCTCCAGGAGAGGAGGGAGCCCAAATCCTCAGTTTGGGGGTGCAAAGGGGTGTGGGTTCTCCCCCCCAGGTACCTCCAGGCAGCCCCTACCTGAGTATCTTGTTGCGGCTGTGTCTGCTCCGCTCCCTCTGACAGCAGTCTAAGTAACTGATGCAGATTTCCTGGGAGCAAAGAGAAACAGGTTGGGCTCAGGATGGCTTCCCATGATCCCAAAGCAGCACGACTCGTGCCAGGCCCTCTCTCAGAGTCAGACAGAAACAGGGTCTGGCAGCCCCTACACAGGACAGGAATCGAATTCCTCTGCTGGGACACAACATGGGACATGTTGGGGACGCAGGGATGATGCCAAGGTGTGATGTCACCACCCAGGCCCTGCTGTCTCACCTCTCCTGCTTCGATGTCCTCCAGAGCAGTGAGATGCAGGAGGAAGTTGTTTTCTGGGAAGGATGTCTCGGCATTGGGGATGCAGCTGTGGTTACCTGGGGGCAAGACAGTCTCTTCAAGTGGCTCCTGGAAACTGCATCATATCCAAGTCCATCCAAGCCAGGACTGACCATTCCACAGCTAGGCAAGGTGCCAGGACCCCCTGAGAGGCCCCAGGGCAGCACCCATCCCATCCCATCCCATCCCATCCCATCCCATCCCATCCCATCCCATCCCATCCCATCCCATCCCATCCCATCCCATCCCATCCCATCCCATCCCAAGGCTGGAAAGCACAAGCCCCCTTCTCCAGAGGCTTTTAGGAAGAGGTGATCCAGCCTAGCACGGGACATTTCCCTCCTCACTCCCAGTTTTCCTCCCAGTCCTTGTGTCACTTACAGCAGCTCTGGAGCACGTAGAGCCCTGATCCCTCGCAGTTGAGGAACTCTCCAGACTCTGCAGCACAGAGAGGTGGCGTTAGAGCTTTACACAGACCATTCCAGCTCTCCCACATGGGAGCACAGAGGGATTTGCAGCAACACGGAATGCACTGTCTTGGTTTTAAGACCCAGCCAGCGCTGCTTTGGGGCCGGGTGTGGGAGGGTGATTTCCCAAGCACCCTTCCCTCCCCATGGGAGGGGATGGAGGGCAGGAAAATTTGCATCCCCAGGCTCCCTGCCCTGCCCCTGCACTCCCACAGATCCTCACCCTTCTCGATGTCCTTGTAGAGCTGGTCGATGAAGGCGTCCAGCTCCTCCCGCTGCAGCATCGGCAGATCCAGCGCGTCACACGCGTGCACCCACTGGCTCAGGGAGCTGTGGGGAAGAGGGGGACACTGTTACATCCCACGGTGCTGTCAGGAAGCACAGGGACACTGTTAACAGTCCCACAGTGCTGTCAGCACACAGTGGGACCTCACAGGGGGGATCCAAGGTGGCTCTGAGCGGCCAAGGTGGGAGAGGGATGCAGAAGGGTTGGACACAGCCAAGACAAAGTTTTCAAGTCTCCCCCTCCATTCCCCTCTCTTAAACCCAGCCTTACCCGGGAGAGTGTGGATTTACATTCCACATCTCTGCTGCCCTGCAAGGAACACCCACTACCCAGTTCCACAAAGCCCAATTACCTGGTTCCTATGCCCTGGCCATTGGTCCCAACGAGGGCAAAGAGGGATCGAAAGCCTTCTGGAGTGAACCACTGCAGGAGGGAGAGGGGAAAGGAACTGAGTCCAGGCCAGCCTGCTGCAGCACCCCATTCTGCAGTGCCCCAGATCCCACAGGGAGCTTTGGGGGAAGCAAGGATTGATGGGCAGATTCCCACAGGCTGTTTGGGAGGCAGATCCACTCACCCTGCTGAGATACTCATCATAAAGGGCTTCGGTGAAGAGCAAGCGCAGCAGCTCCAGCTGGCCCTGGCAGGACAAGGGGCACAGTCAGGGTGGGGAGGTGTCACTGTCACTGCCTGCCAGCCCCAGGCTGAGGGCCCAGCCCAGCACAGGCCACAGGGCTCAGCAAGGACTCAAGCTCCTCATCCCTCCCTGCAGGGCTGGAGGCTGCTGCCCTCACAGCAGCAAAAGCCACTCATTTTAGCAGCAAAAGCCACCTACTCAGCAGCTAAATATCACCCTGGGCCAGCCCACAGCAGAAGCATCTCCCCCACAGGAAGGAGCAGCACATCCCATGGAAGCACCACGAGCCCAAAGCCCTCTAAGCAACTCATTTCCACAGGGCTTCTGCACCTGTGGGCTCACAGACACAGGTGGGAGAGGGCAGGCTTGGGAATTCAAGAGCTGCCAGGGTCTTACCTTAAATTTGTCCCCCAGCAGCTTGTGCACAATCTCCTCTTCTTCATTTGCTGTCTTGCTGCAGAACTGGGAGAAGGCCTTGATCCACCACTCCTTGTCTTTAGCCTGACAAAGGAATCAAGCAGAGGCATTGCACCAACCCTGCTCTCCTCCCCAGCCCAGAGAGAGAGAGAGAAAAAACACTGAGGAAGCCAGGCTAAAGAACTAGAGCCTTGGGAATAACATCCACAGTGGGATAACGAAACCACACACGGGCAGCTGCAGCTCCAAAGTGCTGACGTACCTGTTTGATGGTAGCAACCATCCTGGCCATCAACATGATGCTGGAAGTCTCTGGGGGATAATGCATGTTCCTGTGGAATAAAAACAAGGAAGAGATGAGCAGAGCAGGGCTGGTATGGAAATAAAAGGCTGGAAGGAGGCAGAGGCAGCTGCTGTCTGTGTGGTCAGGCCTGCATTAATCCATCACAACAAAGTGGCCATTGCAGCATCACTGTGTGGGGATCCAGCAGAGAAACCTGCATCCACCTTCCTGCTCCAACCAGATAAACAATCCCCTTCCATCCTGTTCACCCTGGGTCCCACTGGTCCAGCTGGGGTTTGGGAGAAGATTTGGGTCAGGGATGTCGCTTTTCCCCTCTGGGACCACTTTTTTTTTTTTTGCAAGCAGGGACAGCAATTTATCGACCTGCACGGAGGATCCCCAGAGGCTGGAGATCTGCAGGAGTGCTATAAAACTGCAGGAGTGAGCTCTGTAGCATTTTACAGGGAGAAAACCAAGGACTACTCAGCTGTGTGCAACTGCCCACACCAACTCACCCGACCAGCAGGGAGACCAAGGCAGCGTCCCACAGGCATTCCCACCCTCCAGCCACCCCATGCAGGGATGCAAAGCGAGGAGAACCGCCTCCTTTGCCCGTGGAGCAACAGGCAGGTGGGTGCCCTACCTCCATGCCTCCTGCAGCTTGTTGAGGGGGTGCGTGGGGTCATCCCGGGACGGGCCGAGGCAGAGGACCTGGTGGTACTGCTCCAGGGCTGCCTGCCTGCACTCTGCGCTGCAGTACGTCACCTAGAGCGGGGGGACAGCGCCCAGCATTGGCTCTGGCAGCAGGAAAACGGGATCCTACATCCAGCTGTGCCTGCTGTGCCCCCTCCCTGACCAGCGGAAAGGCAGACACCCATCTTGGGCAGGGCGGGCGCCTGGCTGGGTGTAAAGGACTGGGTGATCCCAGAAGGATGGCATTCCCTCCCGGCAGTGCCGTACCTGGCATCGGGGGCACTGCTGGTGCAGGTCTTTCCGGATGCTGCACTGCTCCGGGTGAGGCAGCACCAGCGAGCTCTTCCCCAGCAGGCGCTGGGCATTCTCCTCCGCCGTCTCCAGAGCCCGCAGGCAGTGATCGCAGGCTGGGGGAGAGAAGAAGGATGGACGGATAGATGGCACAGGGAAGCCTTTGGGAAGGATAATGCCACTGGTACCACCATCAGAGATGAACAAGGGGATGGAGCTTGGGGCAAAGTGGGCTAGCGGAAGGTGTCCCTGCCCACGGCACGGTGGTGGAATGAGTGGATTCTTAAGGTCCCTTCCAACACAAACCATTGTGGGATTCCATAGTGGCACCTGGTGCATCCCTCAGGAGCTGATGGAAGTCACCTCATCCCTCAAATGACACCTCAACTTGCCAACAGTTCAGTGCAGAGGCAGAAAAGGCAGCAGGGGCTTTATAGCGTTGCAAAGGCAAACCCAAACCTTTCCCTGACACCGGGCAGCTCCTTTGGGATCCCGTAATCACTGGGATAAGTGACAGGGACATGGCACCAGTACCAGCCGCTCACCTCGGTAGTTGTACAGGGCATTCCAGAGGAACTGGGAAGACACCACCGGCCTCTCCACGAAGACAGTTTCCCCTTTGCGGATGTTCTTGGTGGCGAACAAGCCCTTTCCCTGCCGAGGCACAGCCGTGGGTCAAGGGACGCGCCCGGAGCCGAGTCATACCCGGGGGCTGAGGGTATCCCGCCATCCCAAGCGGACCCTGTGGGCTTCTGCCCCCTTTGCCCCCCTAAAACTGGGAAGGAAGGGAAGGATCCCCACGGAGGGGAGACTCACCTTGGCGCTGCTGATGAACCGCGCCTCCGCCGCAGCCCCGGCGTGTCCCCCCGCCGCGGCCGCCATCTTCGGGCGGCGACTTCCCCGCCCTGACCCGCCGGGCAGCGCCTCTTCCTCTTCCTCCTCTTCTTCCTCCTCCTCCTCTTCCTCCTCCTTCTCCTCCTCCGCCCCTCAGGGGTCCGCTCCCGCCATCGCCCGCCTCAGCCCCGGGGCGGGCGAGGGCCGGCGGCCATGTTAGTCCCCCCCTCCCCTTCCCTCAGCCCACAGCCACGCTCTAAAAACACCGCCAAAACACTCCGAAACGGCGCCGGGGCGCTTCCACAGCCACCCCAAATCGTAAAAGAGTTTTGCTGCCTCTCCCTTATTAATTATTAATGTTTAGTGGTAGAGGAAGAGCCATCGTAGCTCTGTCAGGTGGGAACGCGAGGTGCCCCCTCACAGGAGGAGGTTGCCCCCTCACAGGCAGAGAAGGAATCTCCCGCTGCTTTGCGCACACAGAACTGACCAGACTTTCCCCCAAAAAAAACCTTTAATGCCGCCTCTATTAATTATTATTATTATTTAATGGCAGAGGAATAGCCATCACAGCTCTATCAGGCAGGAACACAAGGTCCCCGCTCACAGGAGGAGATGCCCTCTCATAGAGAGGGGAGGAATCGCCCACTGCCCTGCGCACCCAAAATTGGCACGATTTTCCTCTAAAAAAAACCCCTTCAAAACACGCTAAAGTGGCCATTCTCCCCCTGCTGCCTCCTGCTTGGTGGTCTGCAAAGCCTAAAATCCACAAAAACGCGGGTCTGGTTGTATTTACTAATTCACGCCGCTCAGGCTTTGCCCCGCTCCTCAAGGACCGGGTGGCGGGAACCGGGCGGGGAATTTGGGATGATTCCACCCATACTCGGGGCTTTTTGGAGCGTTTTCGTGTCACTAGATGTCACTGTCGGCTCGTGGCCGGGACACGACAGCGGGTGGCAAGGCTGGAGCTGCCACCTCCCTGCCCAGCACGGCAGCAGCTGGGCTGGACACTGTCCCGTTGTCCCCATGACACCGCTCCGGCCACCCGGCCGGGTGACAAGGGACAAACAGGGACAGTCCGGCTGCCAGGGACACCTTTCCTGGCTGTAGTGTGGGATCTGGTCCCAGTGAAGCCAGCGGTGGGCTGTGCCAGCCACAGCTCCCTCTCACAGTGCCCATTGCAGCGGGCTACAAGGACCGAGCCACGGGTGGATCAGTGCTGCTGTTGATTCCTGCTGTAATTATATTTTCATAGAATCAGAGGATATTTGTGTGGGAAAAGCCTTCTAAGATCGTCGAGTCCAGTCATTCCCTCAGCACTGCCAAGGCTGCCACTAACCCATGTCTCCAAGTGCCACATCCGTAGGGATTTTAAATCCCTCTAGAGATGGGGACTTCGTCACTGCCCTGGGCAGCTGTGCCAGGGATGGACAACCTTTTCCATGAAGGAATTTTCCTCAATATCCACTCTAAACCTTCCCTAGCACAATCTGAGACTGTTTCCTCGGTGATTTATTCATGGAAAGGATGGTCAGGCATTGGAAGGGGCTGCCCAGGGATGTGGTCGAGTCACCATCGTGGAAGGGTTCAAGGAATGTGGCACTCAGTGGTCTGATCTAGTTGACAAGGATCAGTCACCAGTTGGACTCGATGATCTTGGAGGTCTTTTCCAACCTAAATAATTCTGTGATTACTCTTGTCCTGTCCCTTGTTCCCTGGGAGCAGAGCCCAACCCCCACCGGGCTCCACCTTCCTGACAGGGAATTGTAGAGTAAGAAGGTCCCTCCTGAGCCTCCTTTTCTCCAGGCTGAGCTCCTCCATCTCCTTCAGCTGCTTCTTGTTCTCCAGACCCTTTTTCCAGCTCCACTGCCCTTCTCTGAACATTCTCCAGCCCCTCAGCAGAGCAGGAGCTGCAGGGAAGGTTTGACCACATCCATCTGCAGACGTGGGTCCTTGTTCTCCAGGAGTCACAGCTACAACCTGAGCCCCCAAGCTCACCAAACACTACCTTTCTTACTGAAAATGTAGTTTCATCTCTGCAGGAACTAGCCCAGAAGTGATAACTTATGTTAATTACTTTCACCCATAATATGGGGTCATCACCCAATTAAAGAAAAAATTCTTTACCATGTGTTTTGTTCAAAACAGTTTATTAAGGAAAAAACCCTCAAACATTTCTGAGAAGGATGAAAATACATTGGGTTTTAACTTTTTTGGTAATAATTTCAGTTGAAAATTAAAGTGAGTAGTTGGAGATGTGGTTTTTGACACCCCTTCCATCTCTCTTTTTAAAACACGCTCGATTTTTATTAAGAAACAAAGCAAATAAATAAATGGCACTTATTAAGGAAAGGGGAAAAAACAAAGTCTTTTATAAATAACAATAGAAGAGTAAAGTGATATACAGTGTTCAGGGACAGAAAGAGAAGGAATAAATTATCCTGAGCTGACTGGACGTGGTTGGTACCCTGGGCAGACCTCAGTCCTGACCCCTCCAAGCCCTCCCAGCCACAGAAATGCAGCTGTTAACTACATCGGGCATTTACAGATGTGCTCACCCAACGCTCCAGGTGCTGTTTCCCATGGCACCTGGGTGGATAATGAGGAGAGAACAGAGCAGTTGCCGTCTGGGCAGAGTCAGCACATCTGGACGAGGGGCAGGGGGTCGTCTGAGGCACCAGAGGTGTTGGAAAGCTGCTTTTTACAGCAGCCTCCATCCCCACACCTTGGCCAGGGCTCCAGTGCCTCATTCCCTGCTGCAGCAGCACACGGACACCTTGGCCAAGGAAGGCAGTGCCAGGAGATGGAGAGACCACCGGGTTCTCCCTCCGGGTTTGGGAAGCCAAAAAAAAGGCACAGGTACACCAAGGCACTGACAAGAGGAGGCACTTCTGCTCCAGGGGTAGAAAGACCCTGGAAAGACCCTGATCATCTTATGGCAGGAGCATTGTGGGTGGGAGCAAAGGGCTTTCCAATTCGGGGCCATTTTTGGTTATGATCTAAGCATCAAACGGGGGAGTCAAGTTAACCAGGAAGAGCCGTCAGGGAGGAATGTCACCCCAACACCAGAGACACCATTTGTCACCCAACCATCAGAGACACCCTCTGATTGTCACTCTCTGCTCGAAACTGTGTCCTGGTGCTCCAAGAACAAACAGGAGATCACCTGCCATCAAGCACAACCAGCCTGGTGAAGAAGCCCCAGGAATTACTGCAAATGGCTACCAAAGAGCAGCCAAACAAATCTGGGAGGGGTTCCTCCCCAACAGCTGCATCTTAGTCCTGTAGCTCCAGCTCTCGGATCGAGAGGGTAATGTCTCTCTTGGGCCAAAGCAGCACAGAAACCCAACATCAAAACCCAACAGTGGCAGCTCAGCCTCAGCTGCTCAAAGCTCCACGTCCACGGTGTCCTCCTCATGGTCCTTGATGTCCGTGGAGTCGGCGCTCGCGGGCTGGATCACCCCAAACTGGGACAGCTTTGCCGCCTTCTGCTCCATGCTCTGCTTCCTCCACTTGATCCTCCGGTTCTGGAACCAGACTTTCACCTGGCAGGGACATGGAACAGCTTAATCCGAGGTCTCCAGGAGCACGTTCCCAATGCCACGTGCTTCCAAGGAAGATGTCCCCAAAAAGAGTTCCTTCAAAGTGGGGACATGCCCTTTCTCTGCTCAGGGAATAGTGAGGGAGAACAGGAGGAGGTGACACTGTGGAGGGCAGAGCAGTGCTGGGAAAAGGATCAGGAGAGATGGGGATGCAGCTGCACTGAGGAAATTCTGGCCAGAAGAGTGAAGGAAGCAGCTCCCTAAGGAGCCACTGAACCCATACCTGGGACTGCAGCTGCCAGAGGGCATGATGAGACCCCAAAACATCCCCTGTCCCCCCAGAATTGCCGTTATTTTGCTCTCCCTTTTCCCCAGCTGAATTTAGACCCCACCACAGAAGATCCCCTGCCTCTTTCTTTCCACAATAAACAAGCAGCTTGCTTTGGGAAGGGTGGGAACTTATTGGGAAGAGCAGGAAAATAATAATAATAATACTAAATAAAAGGACACTCAAAGCACAAATTGTCCCCAGAGGACTAAAACAACACAGATCCACAGAGTCCAACCCATCTCCAACTCGAAAGCCATGCAGGTTTGTGGTTTTTGTTCCACTTCATGGATTAAGAAATCTCATCCATAAACCATCCAGACCCATCCCTCCAGGCACATCCCTTCCATGCCATCTTGCAGCAGGCAGTCCCACAGGTCACTTTGCATCATGTCCTCCCCCCTGCTGCACTTCCCAGCAGGAAAACCATCACAGAGCAGACCCAGGATTGGTGCCACCCATTCCTCACCTGCGTCTCCGTGAGGTGCAGAGTTGCAGCCAGGTCCACTCGCTCCGTGCCCACCATGTACTGCTGCTTGAGGAATTCCTGCTCCAGCCTCTCCAGCTGCTCTGGTTTGAAGACAGTGCGGACCCTCTTCATCTTGCAGGGCCCCCCCGACCTCCAAGGCCCCACAGGGCCAAGAGAGTTGGTCCCGACACAGTGAGACAACTCCAGACCTGCAAGAAAGCAGCGAAAATTGAAGGGATCTGCACTGAAGGGACTGGGAGAAAATAGCACCAAAAAAAGCAGGGATGTCCCTGCCCTGTCCCAGCCCAAATAATTTCATCTGGGCTCCCTTTCCCATGAAAGGTTGGAGCAGATGATCTTTTGGGGACCTGTGATTTTACTCTCAGGTACCACCTGGACATGCAGCCAGACCCAAAGAAATCAACTCTCAATGAGGGGAGCAGGATTTGACCTCCACCCACAGAGGAGTTTTGTAACGGGATAGTAAAATCCATCAAGAGCTGCAGAAGACAAAAATCCCATCTCTGCCTCAAGAAGCCCCAAATCACAAAGGTCAGAAGTTTGGGGGAATTTACTCCAGACTGGCCCCTGCTTTTACCCTTCCCTTGGCACAGGGAGTCAGTGTCCAGGGACCAGCTCTCAGGCAGGACCACATCCTGCCCCCCTGGTCCCAGAAAAGTTCCCAGTGTGCAGAGGAATTAGTGGATCTGGTCTCTCGTCTCCTGTCTAGCAGTGGCCTGAGGATAATTATAATTACCATAAATTAACATACAATACAACACCAGGGGACCAGCTGGCACCTGACTGAGAGCGGTGGCTTCTCTCCTTTCTAACTCCCTCATCCTGATCCAATTGAGGTCCCTGCTCACTGCAGAGGGGTTGATCCAATCCCTTCCAACCCGAACCATTCTGTGATCCCATGACCTGCCTGCCCAGGTGATTCCACTGGATTAGCTTTAAAATAACCCACCGAGTAACAACCAAGGGGAATTTCCACGTGGAAAGCACCGGATCGATTGGCAGGATCGGGCCATTAATGCTCCCCATCAGTGCTGTTCCAAATATTGTGGCAAGCCAAGTTTCTTCAACCTTTATGGAAATGCTGCACACATAATGATCCCAATTCACACCCTGCTACTTATCTCTCCTTTAATGACTGATATTGTCACGTTCTCCAGGCACAAACCAGCACCTTGACCTACTTATTTCCATTAATTAGGTGCAAGTTCTGCGTGTGTTTAAGGATTTGTGGGATGGAGACCTGACAGCTTAACAGCTGTAATTGCACTTAAAACTATTTTCATCATTAAAATCATTTCACCCGTCACTTTTTTTTTTTTTTTTTGTTTTTTTACCCCCTCTATTTTCATACTGGGATAATAGCAAGTGTAATTTCCAACTTGAAATGCTGTGTGGAAATAGCTTTGCCGATTGTTTAACAGTGTTTTCATACCTGTATATTTGATATAATAGAGATTGATGCAGTTGTGCACATGCTGCCTCGTGAAAGAAATAATGTATTAAACAGTTCTGTTAAATAGGTTAAAAAAAATATTTAAAATATTTTTGGTGTCTAAATATTTTAGAATCAAGACCAAAATCAGGAGTTCCCCATATACAGAAAATGCAGGCCTGGCTGCAGGTTTTACCTGGACAACAGCAAGGTTACACTCTGAATGTTAAAAAAACCTAATTAATTTCATGAAAAATATTCTGAACAGAGGTATTTTGTTAAAATAGTCACTTTGCTTATAAAGTTACAGTGAAAATAGAGCTTGATGGATCACTGAGTATTACCCATCACCACTGTGCAAATTTTACCCACAGAACAATAAAACCTGTATCCTTAAACACTTTTGTGCTAAACATATGAAGTTTTAGGGCCAGGTGCTCCCAGACACTCTACATTTTCACTTCTGTGCTTGAAAAATCGAAGGGAAAGCGAATTTAGGGAGGGATGAGGGCAGATTTTTGGAGAAGGGGACCCACGCAGCAACAGAAGTAGAGAAATGAATTTTGAGGGTGAGGCTTTGGGAGATCACAGCAGGTTTTTGGAGGTGTGATGAAGACAAAGGCAGTGAAGTGCCTTTCTGATATATGAAAAGAGAAATATAATCCGGTGTGGAAAGATAAATAAAAGCCACTCTTATAAAATACAGGTGGGGGCACACGTGGCCACGGGAGGACTGTTCCCAACCTGAAACCTTCCAAGCCTGAGGGATGTAAATGGTGTCTCTGGGGTCTCACTGCACCCAAACATTTAATCTTGGGGATAAATTGAAATATCACAGAATCACAGACTGGTTTGGGTTGGAAGGGACCTTAAGGATCATCCACTTCCAAGCCCCTGCCATGGGCAGAGACACCTTCCACTAGTCCAGGTACATATTCTTTTCAGCTATGTCATTTTATATTTATTATTAAAATTCTGCCAAGTTTATGTCTCCATTTCAAATGTAAACAGTGCGTTTGGATATTCTGCACGGGTTTCCGACTCGGGGCTGGCCGATGGATTAGTAAAATCCTGTAGCGTCTTTTAGGAATTAAGCACAGGCTCTTTATCAAGAGAAATCAGGCTTGTTAGAAATTGCCTTGCAGCATAAAAGAAAAAAAAACAAAACAAAACAAAACAACAGATTAAAATGTTCATTTCTGCTCTCGCTGTACCCATCACTTACAGCGGGGAAAAATAACTCTGAGGAAAGTTTTCCCTCTCCCTCCTCCACTTCCCACAGCCCCAGCTCAACGCTTCACCTCGGCGCTGGTCCAGAGACCGCGGGGAATTAAAATACAACCGCAGCGGGGGGTACAAAGCGATTTGGGGTGACCCAGACCGCGTTATTCCCCATTGCCAGCCGAGACTCCTGCGCGAAGGTCTCCCCACATCCTCGTTCCATCCGCAGCATCCCCGCTCCGTATCCCGAACACGCACCCCCCGCCCCAGCCGGGCCCCCTCCGCTCACCTGCACCGCCCCAGCCCCAGCCCCAGCCCCACCCGCCGGGCAGCGGCCCCAGCCCCGCTCCCGGGCCGGCTCCTGCTGCCGCTCCCGCTGCCGCTCCCGGAGCGGGTCCCGCCGCGGGCCAGCGCGGGGCCGGCGGGATGGACGGGATGGAGGTGATGGACGGGATGGATGCGATGGAGGCGGTGGGGCCGCGGCGCGGCGGGTCCCGGGCGAGGAGCGCTTCGATGTGGAAGGGGGTCTTGGAGGGCGGCGGGCCGGGCCGGGGGCACGGCGGGCTCTGCAGCATGGCCGGGCCGGTGCGGCCACCGCGGCCCCGCCGGCTTTTATGGAGGGCGGGGGGGCCGGGACGAGCCGCGCTCCTATGCAAAGCGGCGCCGGGGGGGCGGAGGGCGCTGCCCACACCCCCCTGGCCTCCAGCGGCACCTCCGCTGACGCCCCTGCTTCCCTACTGACACCCACACGACACCTCTGCTTCCCTACCGACATGCCTGCTTCCCCATCGATATCCCCAGGGACACCCCACCTTCCACATGGACACCCCTTCTTCCCACAGGCACCCTCTCTAACCCACAACACCTCCGTGGACATCCCCATAGACACCCCTGCTTCCCCACCAACACTCCTTTCTACCTTCAGGCTCCTCCATGGGCACCCCTCCTTCCCCATGGACACCCCTCCTTCCACACCAACATCCTTAGGGATACCTCTCCTTCCCCACCAACACCCCTCCTTCCACCAGGTTCCTCCATGGACAGCCCTCCTTGCCCACTGGCAGCCCCACGGACACCCTGGATTCCGTGCCAACAACCCCACAGACACCTCTCTCCTTCCCTGCCAACCCCTCCACGGACACCCCCAGTTCCACACTGATGCCCCCATGGACACCCCTCTTTCCCTGCTGTCACCTCTGCTGTCACCCACCTGACCGCCTGTATCTTCCCCCACAAACAGCTGTGCTCCCTCCTCATGGACCCCCACACTGACACCTGCTCCTTCCCCATGGACATCTTCTACTCCATGGACACCCTCACCATACCCACTCCGGATAGACCCCCACATGGAAACTTGCTCCTTCCACCACCTCCTCCCTTCCTCATGGCCCCAAACCTTCCACCTCAAAGCCTTGCTGGGACTCTCACCTTCTCCATGGACACTCACATGGACACCTACAGCTCCTGCTCCACTTCCCAATTCCCTGTGACATCCCCAGGCCTCCCAGGAGCACCCACCCCATCCCCTGGCCACAGTCCTCAGGGCACTCACCCCACATGGCATGGACAGACCCCAGGACCGGCAGTGCCAGCCCATCCTGCCACTGTTCCCAGAGGAATGTGTCAGTGTGTACCTGTCCAGGAATGCTGGAGTGTGTAGTATATCTAGGATGTGGGATGAGCATCTCAGGAGCTCTCACAGGACATGAGGTGACTGTGCTGTGAAAACTGAGCTGGTTTCAGTGCCATCCCTGCTTGACACCCCCAAGTGCACCCTCATGGTCCAACAGGGAGCCGTGGATGGCACAGACACCTCTCCCAGGTGTGATTCCCACTCAGATCTCACCAAATTCACACCGAAAATTCACTCCATGTACAAACACGGAGAAATCCCAGAGCTTCCAGGTTAATAAACATGGAGCAAAAATCCCCCGTGGTTTAATAACCCGGCATTAACCATCTCTGCATGCACAGGCTCCCAGTCCATATTCCATAAATCCTGCCTTAGAGAGGGATTCACGCCGTTTAAATTTCTTTTCCCTGCCCAGTCCATAGAAATTGTTATGAAAATCTCCATATTTTTGAGCATTTCAAAGCAGATGGAAAAAGATGGGAATGCAGGGGTAGGATTATCCCGCTTGTGAGGAAGCACCCTGGTGATGGCTACAGGATCCTCAGGGAAGAGGATGCCTGCAGGAGACAAAAGAGTCCATCAAGTTTGCCTTTAAAACACTTTTTTTTTTTTCCCCCTGCCTTTTAGCATCCTGTCTTCCACAGGAGCTTCCAAATAAGTGGATAAATACAGCTGCTGCTTTATTGCTCCTTATCCAAACAGGCAGCCCCGATCCCGCCGCCGTGGAACCACGGCCTTAATTGGAATCACACGTTCAAAGTTGGGCAAGTGCCGAAGCCTCTCCCCCCACCCCCCCCAAAAAAAAAGAGCCACCGGGGAGGGGAAAAAAAAAAAAAATCCATGGAGATTCACAGCTCCCGGCTTTGCTGGCACGGAGGGAGCGTGGGATTGAATATGGGTGTCATTAGGCGGGGGTTTGGGTTGTTTTATTACAAGGTTGTTAAATAAATTATAATAAATTCATGATAAGTCGTGACTGTGATTCCCGTGAGAGGTGATGTCGGAGCCGCCCCGGTTATGAAAGGAGCAGATCCACGTTCAGGATCCTGCGAGAGCTGTGGGGTGATGATCCAGGATGGATGGAGGGAGGAAGGGAGGGGGAGCCACCGGGATGGGCAAGCAGCAAAACCACGGGCTGACTTTTCCCTTTCGCCTTCTGCCGCTCGGCCAAATCCGCTGCCTAACGACGCGTCCTGTTTCCCATTAGTACTGTGTGCTCAGCTAATGCATTTTGGTGGGAAAGCTGGAAATTTTCACTCGCTGGTAATGACTTGGGAAATGTAGCACCCAGCAGCAGAACCCCCCCACCCCTCCACCCGCACCAGCTCCAGCCCCTCCGAGGTGGAGAGATGAAAGGATGGGATCTGATACTCTTTTTTTTCCCTTTTTTTGTGTGTGTGTGTTTTTTTTTTTTGTTTAGTGGTGGTTATTTTAATTATTCCATTTTATTTTAAATTATTTATTTATTTTTTTAAAATTCACTATATTCTCTTAGTTATATTTTATTCCAGTTTTGATTTTCGAGCGCCTAGAAAAGAAAAGGGGAAGGTGGTGGGGAGGGGGAGTTTCTTAGGGAAGGGGTAAAAAAAAAAAAAAAAAAAGAAAGAAAAAAATTCCAACAACAAAACAACAACCCAAAAAGCCCCCCCAAAAAAGCCCCCAGCCCTTTGTAAACATCCCCCCTGAGCAAAGGGAAGGAGGTGAAAAGCATTTCCTGATAACTCCATTAAAGAATGAGGCTGCATTAACATTCCAAGTCCCTCGACAAGAGATGAAAGTGGGGAACTTGAGTTCAGCCTCCCCTCGCTCCAGATGTTATTATGGGCTCCCTGAAAGGTTTTTTTATTTCTTTTTTTTGCAAAGAGACAAAGATGTTGCCCACTTCAAACGGGGCTAATTGATGCTAATGACTATCAGATAGAGGGGGGGGCCCTTTTCCCCCCTGCCAAGGGGAAAGAGAGAGCGCATTTTACAATCCCCCCATAGAAAACGCCCCGCTCTTCAAGCCAGGTTGGTGCTTTAGGGATTTTTGTTCCTCCCTGGCTGTTGCTTTCCCCTCCTCCTCCACGCTCCCCCCCTCTTCATCTTTTCTGTCCCCCCTTTCTCTGGGCACCCCGCGGCTCTCACTTGTTTGCCCATGAGAAATTTCACACCTCTCCTCTCCGTCGGTGGGGAGAGCCCGGCTCCATTTCCATCCCTCCTTCCAGCCGCAAAAACCGGCCCAGCGGGGGCGGAAACTTGCCCAAAACCCACAGCGAGCACACGCGAAAACGTGACGGGGATTTGGTGCATCTCTAATCCCGGGCTGTGAGTCCTCCTGAGTCTCCCGGGTCGGGAGCATCCTATCCGGGAGAAGATGGATCCAGGGTGGTGATTAGACAGGCGTCTGCTCGCGCTCATTAGGATAACAAGCCGGCATCGCCAACCCGAGGAGGCTGAAATCATGAACTCGTGTCTTTTATTCTTAAAACAGTAAAAATTCGCTTAAAAATGGGATTCTGAACGCTAAATTTAGCTTTTGGCATCGTGTCATATTTTTTAAACCGTTTCTGCTGTGATAATCCATAGTAATAATAAACAACAATCCATAGTAATAATAAACAATCCATAGTAATTATAAACAATAATCCATAGTAATAATAAATAATAACCCATAGTAAAAATAAATGATGATCCATAAACCAGCAGTAGGCAATTAGGAATGTCTTCAAATGTGGCTCCTCGAGCTGGTCATTTGCCCCTTTCCAAGCTGGATCCCACTGGATCTTCCAGGGGGAGGAGAATGAGGATTCACCAGTGAAAAGAGGAGCACGGGGTTTCTCCAAGGAGGATCATGGATCACGTTCCTTGGAAAACAATTTTTTGGCTATCACTAAGCTACTGTGGGTTCTCCTTGCACTGCTTCTAGGGAGCACCTGGAAGTGGGTGCCAAGATGCCACCCTGCCTTGGCTCTCCCACCTTCAGCCAGGTCTCAGGGAGCTTCAGGGACCTCCAGAACAAGGTGCTGGTGTGCTTTGCTCTTGGAAAACCCTGCCTGCCCTCTCTGCTGGGGGATCCAAGCTGCCTTCTGGATCCTTGGCACCTCCCAGGGTCCCATTGACAGACCCAAACCGGGATGAGGACAGGGGGGATGGCACCACCCTGCACTCTGAGGGTGTCACAGAGCAAGGGGAGACCTGGCTGCAGGTGACAAGAGCAAGGCCACCCTCAAACATCGCCCTGCGAGAGCTCAGTGTCAGCAGAAGCCTGAGATGAACAGGAGAACTTGGAAACACAGGAATTTCCTAGAAGGGTGTTATCCCAAAGGTTGGCCTGCAGAGGAGACCGTCCCGATTCTCTCCACCCCTGTCACTTTATTTTGGCTCCTGCTTGTCAAACATCTCCAGGAGCTGATTCAACATGTCCAAGGCCAGGCTGGATGGTGCTTGGAACAACCTGGGCTAGTGGAAGGTGTCCCTGCCCATGGCAGGGGATGGGACTGGATTACCATTAAGGTCCCTTCCAGCCCAAACCATTCCATATTTCTGTGTTAACGCAATGGAAAACTACCTCTGGAAAAGGCAAGGCCCTTGCTTTGTGCTCCAGGGGGGAGGCAGAGGACATCCTGCTCTTCTCTCCCGGCTCCAGACAGTCAATACACACCCCGGCCGCCCTTCAGACACCGCTCCCCGGCTTCATTGTCAGGTTAATTTGGGATAATGGCCTGCAAAGCACCTCAGCCCCATCCAGGTCTCATTAGCACTTGATAATATCGAGCATCCTGAGGAATTACGGCTTTTCCTTCTCCTCCTCCTCCCCAGGGCACGGAGTCCTTCACCCGGGCCGCGCTGATTTATCACCCAGGCTTGGCATGTCCAGGCAGGATCCCAAGGAAGGCCACGCTGGAATGAGGCTCAGCAGGACGGGATTCTGCCCGGGCCTTTCGACGGGGTGATATCCCCGATCCAAGCGGGGTCGTTCCTCGGTGTCCCGTTCCCCGGTGTCACATCTGGCCTCACGTCTCAGCCAGATGTGAAATGGGGGAGCGGGACCTGCTGCATCCCACCACCCTCACCCTTCCCGGCTCCTGGGGGCTCATCCACCTGCCCGGGGTCCCTCCAAATACAGCGTGGCTTGAGCCCGTGAGTGGAGCCCACGGTGTGGTTGGACTAAACGACCTTCCAAAGTCCATCCCAACCCTATAATTCCATGATTCCGTGGGGCTACACCCAGCTGGCAGCAAAGCCTGGGTGACCCCCACAAAAGCGACCAAAGCCCAAGTTCTCAGAGGATGCTCCGTGGCCTTCCCTTCACGGACAGACCCGCAGACCCCGCTCACAGACGTTGCAATTCCAGGTATTATGAGCATCCCAAACCCACGCATTTGAAATTAATTGGGAATTATAAACAAACTAAGCATTGAGGCAGCGCTGGGCCGGGCCTGAGCGCACCATCAGCCCGCTGCTCCCTTCAATTATCTTTTTTCTCCCACATTGTTCTCCCCTAATGAGGAGACTAATGACCAAAGGATGGTTCATAAGTGGTTCCCAGACTCTCCTTGCCCAGGGCAAACACCGTCCACAATAGGATCACAAATTGCAGGGAGAAGCCCCGGCTGATCACATCAGAAACGGTGGGGGATTTATCTCTCGGCCTTAACAATAACAGTATGTTCTTAATCGCCACTCCAAAGGGACAACTGGCGGGGGATCTGCCCGGCCTCATCATTAAAAGCTGGCAGCATCTTTGCTAGCGCTGCCCCTTTGTTCATCTTTCATTATTCCAATGCTCCGGCCCCGTTAATTCCCCTCCATCTTATTAAATCAATAGAGATGGAGTGGGGGAAGGACGGGGCAGATCCGAGGGTTGGATCCGGCTCGAATCTCCGCGGGGGTGCAGGGTGGGAGCGGGATCAGACCTGCTCAGCGCCACGTGTGTTATCCAAGGATTTGCTCGCCCAGCTCCTGCGGCCGGGGAAACTGAGGCACGGGAGTGTCCCAGCCTAAATAACCCCCCGGGAGGAGGTTTCGGCAGAGCTGGGTTTATCTGACTGCCGATCCCACACCTCCCATCAGCATCCCTGCATTGCTCGAGTTAACGATTTAATCAACTCCTAAAATAAAATCACGCCGTTCAGAGGTGCCAGAGCCGCACCTCCAGTGAAATTCCAACCTGTCCATACTGAGATGACAGGCGGACAAGGCATTTTGTGCCACAAACCATTTGCAAAGAGGGAAATGGTGCAATTTTCATCTTCTTTTCACCTCTTTTTTTGTAACAGCTCATGTCACCAGAACTGGTTGAGATCCACGATTTTTAAACCCCGAGATTTTGGCCACTGGAATGCTCACCCCATAAGAGGGGTGTCCTTAGTTTCCCGGTTTTCCTGCTGCATTTCCAGGCAGGTCATCCCATTCCATCCTTATTTTCATGGATCCAGAAGAGAATTTAATGTAAAAATTTGATGCCTTTGCTCTGTGTGCGAGGCAACGTGGGGCAAATTCATCCCAGAGAGCCTGCAAAATATGGAATGTGGTGGTATTTCCTCCCCTTGCCAGTGATGCCTTTTTAATTTCCACTGAAACCACTCAAAGCAGCCTCGGGAAACTTATTTGATGTTTCAATCGGGAATTAAAAGGGAGGGAGAAGCAGGGGAAATGCTCCCTGACCATTTAACAAGATTACACGAGGGGATGGAGCCTGGAAACATGCACGGGAGCGACCCCGGCATCCCGTGTGTCCCGGCTTTGCCTTGAACCTCTGCCAGCGGCACGCTGTCCTTCCCAAAATCCCGGCCCTTCCACACAGTAATCCCATTTAACAACCCCCACACACTCCAAACAGGGGCAATCGGCCGAGGGGATGGGGCTCCCAGCTCCGGGATGGGGCTCCCAGCTCCGGGAAGGTGCCTGGGAAAGGGGCTGGATCACTGTCATTGTGGGGCTGGAGGGGTCCCGCGTCCAAACGCCCCATCCTGCAAACAAATCCGTCGCCATGTGCTCAGCAGGAATAATCCTGGCAGGAAGGAGAGCGGGGAGGGGGACCCGAAGGACCTGCGGGCTACAGCTCCACCTGGTTATCCCTTCTCCTGTATCTCCATCCATATCCCATCGCATTTAGCCAGACGCTCATTTGCACCTCTTCAGCAGCTCCCTGCGTTCATCCCCAGCCCTCCACCCATCCATCTTATCCGCTTTGCGGGCTGTTCCTCTGGGGAAACACTTCTCCCTGATCCATCCACACACCCATCCCGCATCCTACCTGTCCTAGGAGACTCCTACTTAATCTATGGAGCAGGGAGGAGATTTGCCGGGAAGGGCTCAGCGCTGCACCTTTGGCAGATAACCTTTATCGTCTTAATAAAGCTGCTTAATTCTCACTTCCTTTTAATTATCTGTCTGAAAGCCACCCCGGGTTTTGCAGACAGGTGAAAAACCAGTGTCTTGCAGAAAACCACGGATTAGGAAGGGACTATCAGGTCTTTGGGATGTGTGTGTGTTTGGGGGGGGGTTGGGTAAAGAACACAGCTCTTATCCTTTATTCTTCTTCTTTATTCTTATTCTTTTATACACAGACTTTTCTGGGGGACGAGAAGAGCCAAGGCTCTGTCCCAGGTGGGTTGATCCGGCCTAAAACCTTTCCAAGCCTCTCTCTCCCTTATTTTCCACGGTGCTGGGTTTGATCCCAATCCATGTGCCCCAGCTGATCTGCCAGGATCCAGCAGGAAGGAAAGTGCATTTCCATCCCATTTCCAGGATGTCCAGGCTGGCAGGGCCTTGGCAGGACATAAAATGACCGGGATAAATCCAGCTTTTCTGCAAACCATCAACTCCATCCCATGACCTGGGTCAGCTCTGGGGGTTTGGCACTTCCAGAAATCCCTGCTTTGTCCCACAGATACAAAAAGTCCCTTCCCCACCCTAAGGAACCTGCAAACAGCTGAATCGCTGAGTGAGAGGAGGACAAGGAATGGCCTTCCCTGGCACCCAGCTGTCCCGAGGGAACACAGCCATCCTGAGCCCCCAGGGACCCGGCCACCCCCTCAAGGATTATCACCCACCACCAGAAAAACCTCCTGGTCAAATCCCAAAGTGCCAGAGGGACGTGATTTAATCCATCTCATATAAAAGTAAATTAAAAAAAAAAAAACCAAAAACAACCTCAATCAAGCCCAGCAGTTTTAATTAAACCGTCCCCCCTGGTCGGACACCCCCGCAGAGGGGTCCGGGCTGGGCAGACCCTGCGGGAGCATCCCCTGGAGCGGGAATGGATCCCCCGTGGCTGCCCAGGAGGAGCCCAATCCTGCCGGAGGCTGAGCGCTGCCAGCTCCCAGGGGATTAAAGGTGTCCTGAGAACAACTTAACTCTGGCAATCAGCTCGGCCCCCGGCCGGGCGATATTAAAACACCCCCGTAAGCCCCGTTGTCTCGGGGCTGATTGCAATAAACCCACCGGCGCGGGAGATTAGCGGGTTAAACCCGCCGGCGCAGCGCGGGCTCCCGGCAGACATGTGAAGACATTAGCACAGTTTGGGCTCTTTGAGATGTGCCGGCTAATCCCGGCTCTGAAACGGCCGGGACAAAGGGCAGCTTCCGTCACATCGGCCCCTTCTGCTGCCACCAGCCCCTTCTCCTTGCACTGTCCTCTTCTTGCATCCTCCCCCTCATCTTTCACTGTCCCCTTTCCTTGCACTGTCCCATCTTATATTGTCCCCTTCTCCTGGCATCATTCCCCCTCTCCATGCATTATCCCTCTCCTGGCATTGCCCCCTCTCCTGGCATCATCTTCTCCTTGCACTGTCCCCCCTCTGCCTCATCCCCTTTCCTTGAACATCCCCCTTCTCCTTGCACTGTCACCCTCTCTTTGCACCATCCCCTTCTTAATTTTTGCTCCTCTCCTTTTATTGTCCCCTGTCCTCCCTCCTTCCGTCATCCCCTTTTCTCTGCCTCATCCCCTTTCCTTGCACATCCCCCTTCTCCTTGCACCGATCCCTTCTCTTTGCACCATCCCCTTCCCAATTTTCCTTCCTTTCCTTGCAATGCCCCTCCCTCTTCTTGCTCCAGGTTTCACACCTGCCCAAACAAACCCTCTGCCGCGATCCCTTCTTCCTCCAGCTCCAAACCTGGCACAGACATGGAGAAAATCCACTTCCAGGAGCTGGTGCTGCCCAGCTGAGCACCCAGATGTCCCCATTGCTGCTTTCATCCAGCAGATCCCAGGCCTTTGGTTCTCCCTTTGCATTCTTCAAGCAGCTCCCCAGCTTCCCACAGATCCCACTTTTGGCTCATCCCCTAGCCCAGTGTCCATCCCAAAACTGCTGGATTAGAAACCTCTACCTCTGCCTAATCAGGGCCAAGCAATTAAAATTAAAGCCTGGCTAATCCTTGCCCAGCTGAGATGTCACCCCTGGTGCCCAACCAGCAAATCTCCCACCAGCTCTGCTCTCCAAGTGTGTTTTCCCCATTGTCCTGGCTCCAAAATCCCAGGAGAGAGGGATGCCAGTGCTGGGTGGGACATGTGAGCTGTGGGCAGAGCTGGTTATGGTGAAGATGCCACCAGGAGGGAGATGGATGGACCACGAGAGGAAGGTCCTCTGCAAGGACCTGGGAGCTCTGTGAAGGTCCTGATCCTTGGGATATCCCAGCTCCCAACACCTTTGGGATAATCCATGGGTAGGGGTGTGCAGGTGACCCCCACTCCCCCAAATCTTGCTCCCATAGACAAGCCCTCACCGAACACTTGCTGCCACCGTGGGGGTGTGTGTTCCCCCTCCTCCCCTTCCTCCTCCTCCTGCAAAGATGAGCCCAAAAATTGCATAAATAATTTATTTCACCCCCTGCCCCAGCCCAAGGGGTGCCCTATACGTGTCCTGTATATATTAGATATGGTCAGCTATGGCACAGTCATATAATACACGTGGAGAAAGGGCCCCACGGGGCCACTCAGCAGCTCTTTGTCCCAGTCTGTGCAGGTCCTGTGTCCGTGTCCTCCTGTCCACCCTCCGACTCCGCCGGGAAATCCTTGTCCCCCTCGCCGTGGTGGCTCTGCGAGTCAGGGCTCCCCTGCGGGGTGGCCAAACCCATTTTGGCCAGTTGGGCTTGTTGCTGCTCCAGGCTTTGTTTCCTCCACTTGATCCTGCGGTTTTGGAACCAGACTTTCACCTTGGAATCAGAGAATCGTGGAATCGTTACGTTTGGAAAAGACCTCAAAGCCTGCCAAGCCCAAGCACTTAACCCAGCACCGCCGTGTTCACCGCTGGACCCTGTCCCCAGGTGCCACTTCCACGGGGTTTTGAACACTTCCAGGGATGGTGATTCCACCAATTCCCTCCCACTTTAGGAAGGGCTTTCAGACCTGGTTTCTCCATGGACCACGGAGTCGTGGTCTGCTGAACCTCCAGGCTCAGGCAGTGTCCACTCCGTACCCAGCAAGATTGGGAACTGCTCCCTGCCCCCCAGCAGCTGGACCTGCCAGCGGTGGAGAAGGTCCAGCCTTAAGAGGGACACAAGTTCATGGCTCTTGGACAGCCCTTTCTTTGTGCCTCAGTTTCCCCACCCGGGATCCTCCACCCTTTTAATTCAAATTCTCTGCAGCCACCACCCCACACAAGGAGGCTGCTGCTTCGGTCTGAAGGACACATCCCAGGTCCCACCCGTTGGCACGGAGGTTTGGGAGCCTCCCAGGCGGAGCTGGAGGGTGGTGGGGGTTACCTGCTCCTCGGTGAGGTGCAGGGAGGAGGCGAGCAGGCCCCGCTCCGTGCCCACCAGGTACTGCTGCCGTGAGAATTCCTTCTCCAGCTGGGCCAGCTGGTCACTGGTGAAGATGGTCCTGACCCGCTTGGCTTTGCCAGACCTGGCTTTGAAGACGGGGAAGCAGCACTTGGAGATCAGGAAGCCTGGGGGTGACGGAGAGAGGGGGGTGAGGGTGGAGAGGAGCCCTTGGAGAGGTCCCATCCACAGTGGGGTCTCTCCTTGGGAAGTCCTTTCCTGGAGAGGCAGAAGGGATCTTCCCATTTGGAGGTGTCCCGTTTAAAGAGGTTATTTCTGGAGGGGGTTCCCTGTTTGAGGAGGTGGGAGAGGGTGCTCCATTTGATGAGGATCTCCCTAGAAAGGTGGATACAGGTCCCTGTTGGAGAGAATCCCTTTGGAATGAGTTCCCACAAAGAGGTGGAAGGAGCTCCCCCACTTGGAGACTTCTCCTTTTAGGGTGTCCCAACAGAGCTGGGCATGGATCCTCCTTGAAGAGATCCCCCTTCAGGGGGTCCCCCTGTTGAAAAGGTGAAAGGAGATCCCTGTTTGGAGATGTCCTCATTTGGAGAGGTCCCCCTGGGAGAAGGGATCCCCCTTTGGGGAGCAGGAAGGGGGTCCCCATTTGGGGATGTCCCTCTGGGAGAGGGGGTCCCTACTTGGGAAACAGGAAGGGGGTCCCCACTTAGGGGTGTCTCCCGGCAAAGGTAGATGTGGATCCCCTGGGGAGAAGGGATCCCCCTTTGAGGAGCAGGAAGGAGGGACCCATTTGGGAATGTCCTCCTGGGAGGAGTCCCCCTTTGGGGAGCAGGAAGGAAGTTCCCATTAGGGGTGTCCCCCAGAAGAGGTGGATCTGGTTCCCCGTGGGAGAAGGGATCCCGTTTTTAGGGGGCAAGACAGAGGTCCCACTGGGAGTGTCCTGCCGGGAGCAGCAGAGGGGGGTCCCCGTGCGGGGTTTGGGGGGTGGCAGTACCTGTAGCCCCGAGCCGGGCGGCCCACGCGGGGGTTCCCCCGCAGCAGTCGGTGCAGAGCGGCGGCAGGAGCGGGGCGGGAACCGGGGGGGAGCCCCAGAGATGCGGCAGGGGGGGCCCAGGGCGGGGCGAGGGTCCCGAGGGTCCCAGGAGCGCGGCGATGGTGAAGGAGCGGCCGGGGGTCGGGGTGGGCATGGCGGGGCCGCCCGAGGCAGCGCTGCCCGCCAGCCTTTATAGGGCCAGGGGGCACCGAAGGACGGCAGGGACGGGGCGGGGACCGGCGGCATCGCCCCTGCCCCGCCCGAGACCCCTCCGTGTCCCCTCCCTGTCCCTCTGCCCTCCATGGGGATGTCCCCTCCGCGTCCCCCCACCCCTGGGACAGAGCCCCCCACCCCATTTGTCCTCCCCCAGCGTGGCTTTGGCCCTGAATTACTCAGGCGGGAACATCCAACCCCCGGGGGACACCACAGGGCACCCCAAGGCCACCAAATCCCAGCGGGGGACTCGGCGTCCCTCTTGGTACCCTGAGCTCATCTCCCTAGCCTGGACCCCCCCGCAGAGCTGCATTTTGGGATGTCAACAACACTCCAGGCCAGGGAGAAGGGACAGGACCAGGGATGCTCCAGGAGGCAGTGCCAGAGGCACGGGGGGCTCTCCCTGCAACCCCCCAGCTCTCCCCGCTCGGCTGATGGGATTCAGATGGTCATTAGGGGCTGAGATCCTTAAAAATCCCGCAGCTTTTCCTAATGAGCTGGGAAAAGTCACACCTTGGGCCAGCGCTGTGGTGGTGGGGGGGGGAGAGTCCTGGTCAAAAACTCCCCCGGGGGCTCGGGGGGTTTATTGGGGAGGAAATGGGGGAGTCGGGGGGCCGGGGCCACATCTGCACCGCAGCAGCCCCCTCGTTGGGCTTTGCCGATGGATAAACCCAGTACGTGCAGCCTCCCGAGCCGGGAATAACCCCAAGGAGCTGGGAAAGTCATTATGGAGCTGTGCCCCCGCCAGGAGCATCCCCGGCTCTGCAGCTTCCCGGCCGCCTCGGGGCTGGAGGTGGGGATGGGAGACCCCAAATTCCGTGCTCTGGGGCAAATCCCAGCCTGGAATCTGCAGGTGGAGGCTCTCCGGGGGTGTCTGTGAGCCAAAAATCCCATAAAATCCCGCGGTGGGCACCGGTGGCGGGGGGGTGATACCACATTCCCTGGAGCATCACAGGGACATCACCCCCAAACGGGGGCGGCAAAGAAAGACCCTGGAGGAAGGGGTGGGGGGGCAGAGATGAAAGGGAGGCAGATTTGGGGTTATTAGGTCTTAATTAGGGTCTTGGAAAGATAAAAAGGCGGGAGGCCCTTGGTGGGCTCGGCTGTGTTTGGATAAGAGGTGCTTTCCCTTTCTTTATTCCCCTTTTTCCTCTCCCTGTGTTTGACAGAGCTCGGCAAACACCCCCCTGGCACCCTCACCCCGCTGGGTGGTCCCAGGAATGGGGCTGTCCAGCATCCCTGTGCTGGGTGGGAAGCAAAAGGGTTGGGATCCAGGGGATCTGGAGCCAAAATAGGGATAATGGTACCCAGTGGTTCTTTGGGATCCGTGGGTTTGAAATCCAGGTGGTATAGAGCCAAAATGGGGCTACTTGTAGCCAGTATTTCTTTGGATCCCTTTGCTTCTTTTCCAGGTGGGAAAATCCTATCCTGGAGAGTTGGAAGGGGGGTGTTGGTAATTTGGGGAGGGAATGCTGTGCTAACAAAGAGCACGGGAGGGAGGGTTGGAAGTGGGGGGGTCACTGTTCACAAATCGGGCATCTCCTTCCACCAGGTTGGGATCCAGGAGCGGGATGTGAATCCAGGGATGGCTCCTGCCTAATTTTGAGGCAAAATGGCCCCAAGGCTCGGGCTCCTGAGCTAATTAATGACAAAGCTGCTCATTAACCCTCAGCCTGGGCTGTCTGGGCAGGGTGTGGATTGGTCTGGGGCCTCCAGGATCCTTCCATTGTCCCTGGACAGTCGCTGGGATGATCCCAGAGCCCCTCCCTGGTTTTGTGTCCATCCCCTGTCCCTCTGCATCCCTCTGTCTGCCCGTTGTCCATCCCTCCATCCCAACCCCTGGAGCCTTTCACCCACAAAATCCCTTCACATCCAACTGCCAGCCCTGCACTGGGGGACTATGGACACCCCAAATTTCCAGGGAAAAGGGATATTTCTTCCCAGTTCAGCTGAAATTACCAGGGAAAAGGGAAGCGTTTTGGGCACCCGCTGCCATCAAGTGGCTGAGGACGATCCAAGCCTGACCCTCATTCCCTAAGGATCATTTTATTGGAATCCCAGATCCAAGCCACAATTAAATCCACACTTTTTTTCCCCCAGTTATTAAAGGTCTCCCCACTGGGATTTGGGATGCAGAGTGAAGCCTTTCCTTAAGCATCCTAAGATATGCATCTCCACTTCCTCTCCCCATAGACCTGACCCAGCTTCTGGCAGATTTTTTCCAGGTAGAGGTTTCCAGGTCTTCGATGTGCAAAGGCAGGAAAAAATAAGGAAAAATACATATATTTTTTAAACCTTGGCAGTGACTGACTTGGGAAATTCCTTGCACAGGAGCTTTTGGAAGTTGAGGGCTCCAACAGTGGAGTTTGTGCCAATAATGACACCTGTAGCTGTAAGATATGGGATGGAATGTGTCCCAAATCCCAAACTGGGGGTGTCCTGCAGCAGAGCTGGGCAGCTGGATGCTGGGATGGGCCATCCCCTGGAGCTGGGAATGATCCCCCAGGACAGGGATGGGTCTCCTCTCAGCAAACAAGTGGGTTATGCAAATGTCTCCAGGAACTGGGGCAGAAAGGTCATGCCACCTTTAAAGGTTTTGTCCCTTTCCAGGCACCTGAGGGAAAAACGGTGGGATTTTATTCCATAATCTTCTTTATTTCTGTTTTGGGGCTTTTTGGAGCTGTGGCTCCTGGGATTCCTGACTGAGGAAAGATCCTGCCCTTCCCACACTTGGTCCAGCTCCTTCCCGAGCTCTTTCAGGTGCTGGCAGTGCCAAAGGAGCCACTTCCAGCAGAACAAAAATCCACTTTTTGGAACATCTGGGTCCAATTCCCAAAGGCACCTGAAGTGCTGAGCATCCCTGACCCAGATGGACCCAAGAGCATCCCAGTTTGTGAGGATCCCAGTTCCTGGGCTTGCCACTTAGCAAGTATTCCAGCACATGAGGATGAGCATCCCAGTTTTCCAGGATCCCAAACAGCTGGCTCCCAGTTAACAGGTGTGCTGGTTAGTGGGGATCCCAATTAGCAAAGCATCCCATTTAGGAGGGATCCCGGTCAACTGGCATCCCAGCTGGCACCACTCCGGTCAGCAGGCTGCCAGTGAAAGAGGGTTCTCCCAGCACCAACCATCCCAATTAACAGGCTGCTAATTACTATCGATCTTAATGAGCGTGGCCAGAGATGCCAGTTATCGGGATCCTGGTTAACATTCCAGTCAGCGGGATACACGTTGAGGGGGGATGGCAGTGGGAGGTAGCCCAGGGAAGGGTCCCAGTGGGATCCTGGGACGATCCCAGTGGGATCCCGGGACGATCCCAGTGAGGTCCCGGTGGGATCCTGGCGGGACAGTTCCCGCAGTGACCGCCAGAGGGCGATGCTCGACCGCGCTCCGTCCTGGAGGTACCGGGATGGAACAGTGGGAATGGGATAGAGGGAATGGGATAGCGGGATGGAACAGTGGGATGGGGACACTGGGATGAGACAGTGGGATTGGGGTAGTGGGAATGGGGACATTGGGATGGGACAGTGGGAATGGGACAGTGGGATTGGCATAGCGGGATGGAACAGTGGGATGGGGACAGTGGGAATAGGACATCAGGATGGGGACATGGGGATAGGACAGTGGGATTTGGATAGTGGGAATGGGACAATGGGATGGGGACAGCGGGATGGGACAGCGGGAGGGGAATGTGGGATGGAATAGTGGGTTGGGAAAGTGGGAATGGGGACAGAGGGATGGGGACGGTGGGATGAGGAAACACTGGGATGGGACAAAGGGACGAATACACTGGGATGGGACAGCAGGAGGGGGACAGTGGGATGGGGGACACTGGGACAAGGGACATCAGTCTGGGGGACATCAGGCTGGGACAGTGGGATAGGGGACATCGGGATGAGATACACACATGAGAGGGGGACACTCGAGGATATCACAGTGGGCTGGGACACTCCAGGACTGGGATACACCAGGGTGGGACTTCAGAGTGGGATATACCAGCTTGGGATACAGCAGGATGGGACACTCTGGGCTGGCACAATCTGTAATGGGGCAAACAGGGCTGGGACACAGCGGGACACACTGGGATGGGATGATGGATGGGATGATGGGATACTCCAAGGCCAAGAGGTTTTTCTCAGGGCGCTCCATGGATAAAGGGGGGTGACAACCCATCCTCTCTCCACCTGTGGGTGCCACCACCGGCTGTGCCAGCTCTGGCTGAGCCTTTGGGTGACAATGTGTCCCCACCACCCCAAGGGACACCGGGCTGGGATGTGGGGGTGGTGGGAAGGTTTGTCCTTCTCCATGCACTGATTTTGGGACAGCAGGGCCGAAATCCCCCGAGTTCCCCCTGCCCAGAATCCGCTCCAGGGGGTTGCAGCACCCCCAGGGCCACCAGGATCCCTGTGGATCCCCCTTTTCGCTCCACCATCTGCCCCCACAATCTGGGAGCGGGTCAGCACCCCCGTCCATCTGCCCAGCAGGAAAGTCAAAAGCAGTGTCATTGCCAAATCCAGAGGCACCCGCGGAATTGATGGCGCCGGATTTCCACCCTTATTTGTCAACAAGGCTCCTTGGCCTCCCCCCGCCCCTCCCGAGCCCCCTTAATCTCCCGCACAATTGGAATTCGCTGTGCAAACAGCTCTGAGGGGGGGATGGAGTGGGGTTTGCATGAGAAATGTGTCATTTGGGCAAAGCCGGGGGAGTGAATCCCGGCATCCCTAACGCGGGATTGAAGCGATTCCGGAGCCTTGGATAACCCTAATCCTCGGCCTGGATGGCGGGTGAGAGGAGGGAGGTTTAACTCCTGCCCCCTCATTCCCACCTTATTATCTATTGATTGACTTTTAGAAAGGGGTAATAACATAAAGAGATTGGCGCTCTGAATCCCGCCGGGGGATCACACGGAGCGCGTTTTCCGTGTGGGATGCGCTGGGATTTTTGCCCCCCATCGGAGCCGGGGGGGGAGGTGAAGAGGTCGGGGCGGGGGGGCAAGGAGATGGGAAAAGGGAGGGAGGAGCCTCCATCCCTTCCCCCCCCCCTTCCCCTCCACCAAACAATCAGAATAAAAGCAAATTATTCTTCCTATTTCCCTTCCCGAGATGAAGGATAAACTGTCCATCCCTGAAAAACCGACTGATAACACCTTTAATTTTACTGCAAGGCCTAAAAAAAAAAGAAAAAAGAAAAAAAAAAAGCCATTTCTACGCAAAGCAGGGCCCCTCTCTCTCCTCCCCACCCTTCTCTTGATAAACGGCGGGGGATTTTTTTTTTTTTCCCGTCCCTTCCCGTGTTTTTATTTTCTTTCTCCCCATTTCCCTTTCAGTTCGGTTCAGGGAAATGCCCCCGGAGCTACAAACAACGCACGAGAAAGCAAAATCATATTTTAGTCAAAATAGGCAGCCGGCGCTCGCAGCCAGCTTTCGAATTAGCATTTTGAGGGCAAATATGCAGCAATTTGAGATAATGAGGTCTGATTATTCAATCCAATGAATGTTAAATAGGCACAGAGGGCGCCCCGGCCTTATCTCCCCCGCTTTCCATTTATTTTACTTTAGTTTAGTTTTAATCGTTTCCCATTTGAACTCTCTTACTTGTCTTGGCTCCAGCCCCCGCCTCTCTCCCTCCCCTTCGCTGCCCCTCCCTCCATTCCCGGGCATCCCTGCGCTGCCAGCCGGGATTTTGCAGCGGGAAATCGCCGATGGGACCCGCGATCCCCCGTCAAAGATGTTTTCAGGGAGCGTGTTTGTGGCTTGTCCTCCGACGGAAAATTGGGGTTTGGGGAGGTTTGGGTGTTGCTGCGGGAGCTGTGTCCGTGTTTGGGGGGCGTTTGGGTGGTGCTGGGAATATTTGCTGGGCGTGGGAAGTGCTGGTGTGGAGATTCCATAGAATCCCGGAGTGGTTCGGGTTGGAAGGGGCATAAGGATCGTTTTGTTCTTGTGGGCACCTTCCACCAGCCCAGGGTGCTCCAATCTGGCCTTGGACACTTCCAGGGATCCAGGGGCAGCCACAGCTTCTCTGCCCAACCTGTGCCAGGGCCTGCCCACCCTCCCAGCCAGCAATTCCTTCCCAATATCCCATCTCTCCCTACCCTCTGGCAGTGGGAAGCCATTCCCTGTGTGCTGTCCCTCCATGCCTTGTCCCCAGTTCCTCTCCAGCTCTCCTGGAGCCCCTTTAGGCCCTGCCAGGGGCTCTCAGGTCTCCCTGGAGCCTTCTCTTCTCCAGGGGAACCGCCCCAGCTCTCCCAGCCTGGCTCCAGAGCAGAGGGGCTCCAGCCCTGGCAGCATCTCCGGGGCCTCCTCTGGACTCTCTGCAGCAGCTCCACGTCCTTGTGCTGTTGTTCCCAGGGCTGGGGCAGCTCTGCAGGGGGGTCTCACTGAGGGGGCAGAGGGGCAGAATCCCCCCCTGTCCTGCTGCCCATGCTGGGGGATCAGCCCAGGGCATGGGGTGGGGGGGATTTTTTGGGATGCCAGTACACGTTGCTGGAGCATCTCCAGCCTTTCATCCACCAGCACATTTGAGGTGCTGGATCCCCAGCTCTGGCTCATCCTTCATCCCTTCCCTTCAACCCCAGGGCTCTTTGTGCAGTTGGATTTCAGCACCATCAGCAAATGAATCCAAAGAGCAAATGAGCCTTGGGGAAGATGATCCCAGGTCCTGGTGCCATCCCAAAGCAAAGCCTGGCTCAGCATCCCACCCGGCTCAGCATCCCAGGAAAATCCACTTTCTTTGCAATCCCCAACCAGGTGCTTTTCCCATCCCTAGGGAGGGTCAGCTCCAGGTTGGGAAGCTCCCGGGGTGAGCAGCACCAGGCACTGATGGTCCCACCAGGATGGAGAGCAGCATTTTGCACCAAAAGTGAGGGAAAAAAGAGGAAAATTGTGTAATTTCAATTATTTCCCACCTTCTTCCCAGGAAGGGAGCTGGGTTACGTGGGATCCCACATCCAGCATGACATTGCAATGGGATTTAGGGAAGTATTAGGATGATTTCGGAGAGGGAGATGCCATGGAGGAGGAGGAGAAGGAAGGAAAAGTTAAAGTTAGCCAAAAACTGAAGAAAAAGTGAAAGGAGAAATTAAAGGAAAAAAATAAAATAAAGAAAAAAAAAGTTAAAAGAAAAAAATAAAGCAAAAATTAATGGGGAAGGAAATATTAAAATAAAGCAAAAATTAATCCCAGAATATGTTACAGGGAGTATTAAAACAGAAGAAAAAAATTAAAGTTAATGCAAAATAATTAAGGTTAAAGCAGAAAAATTGAGGTTAGAGCAAAAAATAAAGTCGAAGGAAATATTGACTTGGAAGGGAGAAATTCAAGCTCAAATTTAAAGTTGGAGCAAAATTCCACCCAGCCCAGGACCGTGCAGAGGATCCCTGTGTTCCCTTCGATTCCAGAGTGGAATAAAAAACATAATAATTGATTTCAGGGACAATTAAAAAACCTCTTTATGCCTCAGAACGCAGAGGTGGCAGCGAAATTAAAGAGGTGAATAAATAAGAGAGAAATAAATGGGAGCGGGGCGGGGAAAGTGAAGGGAGAGGGATAAAAAAACCATCCCAATTATGAAGGTGAAAGATGGGAAGTGGCGGAGAGGAGGAGACGCGGCGAGAGGAGAGATAATCAGAGCATTTAAAAAAAAAAAAAAAAAAAAAAGAAAAACAATCAAAGGACGGGAAAATCAAAAGCAGATGCTGAGGAGGGATAAGGGGCGGCCGGCGGAGCGGGAACGGGCACCGGACCGCAGGGATAATTGGATTTGACTTCGTCTCGGGGGCGATAAGAAATTCCCAACGTAGGGTTTTTTTATTCCCATCTGAAGCATATTTTAACGGGAGATTTGAATATAGCTGGGGCAGAGCATCCCGACGGAAAAAAACCCGCAGGTTTTTCCACAGTTTATCCACTCGCTCGGGGGTTTTTTGGGGCAGAACGTGGCTATTCCTGCGCTCGGCAGCTTCGTTCCCGGTTAGGAGCCCCAAAAGCAAGGGGAGGGGGCGCAGGGATCATGGATCGTGGAATGGTTTGGGTCGGAAGGGACCTCAAAGAGCGTTTTTCAGTCGCCGTGTCCCCGCGGCCGAGCGGAACGGGCGCCTCCGGCCCCGGGAGCTGCGGGAACACGGAGCGGGAGCTGCGGGAGGGAGATGGGAGCGATAGGGCAGGGCGGGCGCTGACCCGGCACGGCCCCGGACATCCCTTATCGCAGTGGGATCAGCGCTCCGGGCCCGGCACGGCTCCGCGCCCTCACCTTGCTCCAGGGGCCGGGAATGGCGGCTGGGATGGAGTTATGGGGTCAGGGAGAGGGTTTAATTAGGATTGGGGCCGCGGGGCGGGGGTGGGTGGGTGTTGGTGTGTCCCACACCCCGCTCCGGGCTGGGAACGCTCCTGAGGGTGTGAGGTGGAGCCTCGGGCGTGGCTCGAATAATCCTGTTGGGATAGGGGGAACCTGCTCCTGTGTGCGTGGGGGTCACGGGAGAACAGCACACGAGGGGATCTGCGGAGCCCCCGGATTTGGGGGAATGGGGGAGCGGTTTGGGCTCCAGCGGCCAGAGGGAGGACACACAGGTTGGAATGTGCAGGTGGGTGTTGGTGGGGACACGGACACGTGTGTGGGGGGGGTGTGTGTGTGTATGATCCTTTGCGTGCACCGACACCCCTGTGCTCGCACACGTGCGTGACCTCCCGCATCCCCCCCACACACCTGGGGCACAGGTGAGACCCCAAACAGCCCCTCCGGGGCTGGGCGTGGCCCGCCCTGCTCTGACCCCGCCCCAATTGCTCTGACCCCGCCCCCCAGGGTTCTGACCCCGCCCCCAATTGCTCTGACCCGCCCGCCCCGGAGGCGTGGGAGGTGGGCACGCGCAGAGGGCGGGGCCGGCGCGCGTCGTGAGCGGGGTTAACACCGGGCGTGGAGGAGGCGGGGCCAAATTCGATCGTGGGCGGGGTCTGAGCGGGAGAGGCGTGGCTAACGCCGGTTAGGGCGGGGTCAAAGCCTGCCGGGGGCGTGGCCAGGGGGTGGGCGGCCCCAGAGCCACTCGGGGGCGGGGTCAGAGGCGGGAGGGCGCGCGCGGCTCAATTCGGGGCGTGGCCAGCGCGCGGGGCGGGGGGCGTGGCCAGCGCGGTGTGGGCGCGGCCAGAGATGGCGGGGCGTGGCTGAGCGCCCGTTGTGGGCGGGGCCGGACCGTTGTGGGCGGGGCCGAGGCGGGGCCGGCGTCGCTCTCGCTGCGGCAGCGGCGGCTCCGAGCGGGGCCCGGGGTGGCCCTGCCCGCTTTTCCCGGCTCTTCCCGGCTCTTCCCGGCCCTTCCCGGCCGTTCCCCCCCGGCCCGGCCATGGCGCTGCTGCGGGCGGCCGCGCTGCCGGCCGAGGGCGGCCCGGCCTGGCTGCCCACGCACGTCCAGGTGACGGTGGTGCGGGCCCGCGGGCTGCGCTGCAAGGGCGGCGCCGGCAAAGGCAAAGCGGGCGGCAGCGACGCGTACACCGTGATCCAGCTGGGCCGCGAGAAGTACAGCACCTCGGTGGCCGAGAAGAGCGGCGGCAGCCCCGAGTGGCGGGAGGAATGTGCCTTCGAGCTGCCCTCCGAGCCCGGGCCCCGCGCCGGGCTGGTGCTCACCGTGATGCACCGGGCGCTGGTGGGCATGGACCGCTTCCTGGGGCAGGCCGTGGTGCCCCTGGAGCCCGCCCGGCAGCGCGGCAGGGAGCCCGACGAGCGGTGAGTGCGGCCGGGGGACAAAGTGGGGTCACTGGGTGGGGGTCCTGGGGTCACTGGGCACCCCAGGATGGGCGTCGTGGGGGTCACCGTGTGCCCTGGGTGGGTGTCGTGGGGTCCCGGGTACCCCAGGGTGGGTGTCGTGGGGTCCTAGTGTATGCCAGGGTGGTGTGGCATCCCTGGATACCCCTGGATGGGTGTCACGGGGTCCTCGTGCACCCCAGGGTGTGTGTCATGGGGTCCCTGGGTACCCCAGGACTGGTGTCACGGAGTCCCTGTGCTCGCCAGGATGGGCACGTGGAATCCCTTTGTACCCCGGGATGGGTGTCATGGGGTCCCTGTGTGTCCCAGGGTGGTGTCACGGCATCCCTGGATACCCCAGGATGGGCGTCGTGGGGTCCTTGTGTGCCCTGGGTGGGTGTCGTGGGGTCCCTGTGCTCCCAGTCTGGGTGTCCTGGGGTCCCTGGGTACCCCGGGATGGGTGTCGTGGGGTCCCTGTGTGCCCCAGGGTGGGTGCTGGAGGAGGAAGGGCAGCACAGGACCCACGGGCACCCTCAGGAGGGTGCCGCAGGGATTAATTAATTAGGGTGTGGTGTGGTCCAGGGAAGGCCTCTCCAGGAGCTCATCCAGCATCCATGGGCTGTGCATCCACCGGGAAGGGCGTCCCAGGGCCCGTGGGGAGCCCTGGGAAGGGCGTCCCGGAGGGTGGGGTGGGGTCCGCGTGTCACCCAGGAAGGACATTGCGGGGCACGGGGTGTCACAGGGCCCGTGGGTGCTCCAGGAAGGACACGGTGGGGGATGTAGGACATCACGTGCGCTCCAGGAAGGATGTGGTGGAGGATGGGATGGCTCAGGGTCCCTCCATCCCACCTGGAAGGGAGACGAGGCACTGCGGGATCCATCCTCCCCCCGGGATGCCCCGAGGTCCCTCTGCATCCCATGGGGGTTTTCCAGGGATCTGTCACTCCTGGCACAGCTGCAGGTCGTGGTTTGTCCCCTGATGCCTTGGGGGGGGGGAGGGCTTTGCAGCCCCCCCAGCTCAGTGTCACCCCCCAATTTTGGGAGTCTGAACCCCATCCCTGTGCTGCCTCCGGCATAAATCCCTGTTTGTGTGTGAATTCCTCATCTTCCTCCTTCCCCCAGAAGGGTTGAAAACAATCAAAACGTTTCCGAGCCTCTGCCAAGCACAGAAATGCAGGAATGTGGCCGAAATTCCTTTAGGGGAGACATTTTTGGGGGGCTTTGTTCCGAGCAGACCTGGCTGGGCTGTGCCTGCTGGAGTGTCCCCCCCCCCTGCTCCCTGGCCCCCTGGATCCCGGGAATTCAGCTGGATCGCTGCCCGAAGCTGCGGGCTTGGAGAGGGACCTCCCTCACCCCCCTACCCAGGGCGGCAGAGGGAGTGGGATTAGAGTGAAAAGGGGCTGGAAAAACTTTTCCCGTGGAGAAAGGCGGCTCCACAGCCCTTGGAAATTCCTGGTTTGGCCTAAAATGGGAGCGTGGGGAAGGAGGAGCAGTGACTAACCCCGGAGACGGTGTCTGGGTGTTTCCCCCCCACCATCCCCCGCGGCGTTTATTTTGCTTTCTTTAGCAAAACACCGGGAGAACGGGCGGGGCTGGGGCTGGATCGGGATTCTTGGAGCCTAATTGAAACCAGGAGGACTTTGGAGAGAGCCTGGCGGGAGAGACGAGTGATTCTGGCACGGGTTGGGGGGGGGGGTATGCGAAAGAACCCTCCGTCCTTCCTGTGGTTTGGGGAATGGAGCTGGGAGGGAGCTCGAGGAAAGCCACGCTCCTGGTGGGAAGAGTTTATGGAGCTGTGCAAAGCAGGGGCCCCGAGGTTTGGGAGGCCAAGCCCGTGGTCTGGTCTCAAAGGTCTCCGAGGGCGTCAGGGGCTGTTAATCCCACGGGAGCAACGTCCAGCGTGGCTGGACACCGTGTGACAGCTCCTGGTTATCCTGCTCTGGGTGTTCCTGGTGGATCTGGGCTGGGAGGTTGGAGATCCCCAAGGAATTTTGAGAAGGCTCCAGGATTCCAGCACCTTCTAGTTCCTAAAGGGGATCCAAGAGGGCTGGAGAGGGACTTTGGGCAAGGGATGGAGGGACAGGACACAGGGAATGGCTTCCCACTGCCAGAGGGCAGGGTTAGATGGGATATTGGGAAGGAATTGTTGGCTGGGGAGGGTGGGGAGGCCCTGGCACAGGTTACCCAGATTCCTTGAAGTGTCCAAGGCCAGGTTGGATGGGGCTTGGAGCAACCTGGGCTAGTGGAAGGTGTCCCTGCCCATGGCAGGGGGTTGGAACTGGATGATCTTCACGGTCCCTTCCAAACCAACCCGTTCCATGACTCTCTGATTTGCTCTCTCTGTCTCCCTCCCTTCCTGTAGCTTCGCTTGCATAAGGAAAATTCACTTCCCCTTGCAGCATTTGGGATCACAAGGGCTTTGAAGGCTCTTTATCTTCACCCTTGGCCCCGAGGATGGAAGTGAGCTTGGAAAACACGGAGAGCTCTCACCCTGTACCTGGAGCATCTCCGCTCGCTCCAGGCCTGGAGCTGGAAGGTGTTCCCAGGGTGGGTGACAGCTCTGCAGCCTGGAAGAGGCTGCTCTTTTTTTTTTTTGGAGAGGACTCTCAAGGGCTGGAGCTTGCCCAGCCAGGTGGGAGAAGGATCATGGGGAGCTCGGGGGGCAGTCCGGGAGCCACCGGAGCTTCCAACCGGCTCCTGACATCTGGTTTGGCCCCCTTCGCCAACAACTTCTGTTTAGGAGGAAATTTGTAGTCCCAGATGATAAAAGAGCAAAACAAGCAGAGGCTCCCACCCTCCTGGCCCAGGCCTGTGCCCCAGAGATAACCGGGGGGGGGTTGGGTGGGAACTGGGGCTGTGCCACATGCTGCTTTTTGGGATCCCATCTCCGGCCCTCGCTCCCGGACACAAACCCGCTGCCAGCTGGGATGGGACCCTGCCTGAAAAAGGCCTCCATTGTCAGTGTGTTGACCTTGCTCTCGTTTTCCTGCTGGCTTTTATTGCATGGAAACTCCACCGGTGGATAATTATGATCCTTGTTTTCGGCTCGGTGGAAAATGTTCCGTCAAAACTTGGCCTCTTCTCCAGGAGCGCGCCGGTGGCCGGGGGTGTCGATGAGCTGCTTTGTCCGGCTCAGTCTCGGTCATTGCAGTGTTTTGCCGGAAGAAAATCAACTCTTGGAGTTGCACAAGAGCAGCCTGAGAGCTCCCACGGCCTTTTTGGGCATCCCAAGGCTCCGGCAGCTCCAGGGATTGGGCTTGGCAGGCAGAGCAGGCGCCGAGGATCCGATCATTTCCCACTTTCCACTTGAGCCTTCCCTCATCCCAAAAACCCTGTGCCTGGGCAGAATGCTCCTGGTCCTCATTTTTCCCTCCCAAAGCAGGGCCCATCCCAGAAGAAGAGGGATTTTTGGGTCCCTACAAGGCAGCTGTTGCTTCTGCTGCCTGACATCCAGGAAATGCCCTTGGAGTCCCCCAGGGGGGCTCCTCCTGCTTTCCCTGTGGTGTGGCAGCGAGACAGGGAGTGTCACCTCCATATCCACATCAGCAGGAATCTGGGGAGGCTGGAAGTGCATCCAGCAAAAAACAAGCTTCTGTCTGACACCCATCAGGCTGGGTTTCCATAAAGTCATGGAATGCTTTGGGTTGGAAGGGACCTTAAAGATCATCTCATTCCATCCCCTGCCATGGACAGGGACACCTTCCACCAGCCCAGGTTGCTCCAGTGGCCTTGGACACTTCCAGGGATCCAGAGGCAGCCACAGCTTCTCTGGCCAACCTGGGCCAGGGCCTCCCCACCCTCCGAGCCAGGAATTCCTTCCCAATATCCCATCTAACCCTACCCTCTGGCAGGTTAGCCAAAGGAAGCCATTCCCCCTTGTCCTGTCTCTCCATCCCTTGTCCCAAGTCCCTCTCCAAGGCACTTGGAGACCTGTTCCTGTTGGCCAAGGTGTAGCATCCCTTGGGTGGGGTCTCTGCATTGAGGGGGGCAGGAGGTACCTGGAAACACCTGCAGGGTTGGACCTCAGACCTCACTGCGTGGGGATCCAAAATATCCGTGATTTTACTGCGTGGGCTGTGGTGAGAAGGAGCAGTGGGCATGCAAGGCTTCCTGGGCTGGCTGAAGAAACCCCTAACTGTCATTCCTTCCTCTCTCCCTCTTGGAAATACCCCTTCCATTTGCCTCCTGTCCCTAAAGACGTCCCAGCCCCTTGGAAACAGGAAAGGATAACACCGTGAGTCTGCTGGCCGTGCAAACCCTGGGCTGCTGGAGCAAAACCCAGGGCTTTCCAGCACTGGGATCTCGTGTTGAAGGGGCTGATAAGTGTGGCAGGAGTCCTGATTGCTGGCTCTGGTGTTTTCCTGCAGTGCCTTGCAGTTGCTCTCTGGCTGCCGCCTCGGATCGGGAGCGACGGCAGCGCGTGGCCCTGGGTGTCTCTGCGACAGGGAAGTTGTCTTGAGAGGTTGTTCCCCCTGCAAAATTAGCTCAGCTCTGAGTTCCCCAAAGCCCTTCCGTGCTTCGCTTCCCTTTACTTGTTCCTGTTCCTCCCCAGCTGTGGAGGGGGAACTTGGAGGGGCCTGGGCTTTGTGTGGAGCTGCAGCATCTCCACCCTGGCAGCAGGAATGGGACACTCTCCTCCCTCTCCATCAGCAAAGGAGCTTCCCTCTGGCTGCTAAACTTCTCCAGCTGAGGTCCTTTTCCTGCTCCATGCCTTGATGGAGCTCTTTGGGGTGAGGTTCAGGGGAGAAGGGACAGGGAATTCCTTGGGTTTGGGGGGGAAGATGTCAAGGACATGGGCCAAGATGGCAGAGGAGGAGTTTGTGAATCCCATCACTGCCGGGAGCTCTGTGGCTGATCTGGAGGAAAGGGCTGATCTGGAAAGTCAGTAATGGGTGCTGTCCATCTGCTCAGCAGTACTGGGACTTTGGAGGCTCCCAAGATCCCTCAAGACCAAGGGATGATCCCCAAATCCCTGCCAAAGC